AAGGCTCGTCTTGTCGCAAAAGGTTATCATCAGGAGTATGACATTGATTACAAGGAGACATTCAGTCCTGTGGTCAAGCAACAAACAGTGCGCCTGGTCCTCTCTTTAGCACTCAACCGTGATTGGCCTCTTCATCAACTAGATGTTAGCAATGCCTTTCTTCACGGTACAGTGGACAAGGAAATTTATATGGAGCAGCCCCCGGGGTACATAAATCCCACTCATCCTCACTATGTTTGCAAGCTCCGCAAATCACTATATGGTCTCAAACAGGCACCCCGTGCATGGTACACACGCCTCTCCTCTTTTTTGCAGGGCCTTGGATTCAAGTGCTGCATTCATGATACCAGCTTGTTCACCAGACACTGCTCTCGTGGGACTATTGTTGTCCTTGTCTATGTTGATGATATTGTTCTCACTGGCAGCTCTTCTACTCTCATCTCAGAAGTTACTCAGGCCATGCACCGTGACTTCAAGCTCAAAGAACTTGGACCTCTTCATTACTTCCTTGGCATTGAGGTTCAGCGCACGCAAGATTCTATACTTCTCCATCAATCCAAATATGCCCGTGATCTTCTACGCTGAGCTGGGATGTCCGACTGTCATCCGGCTATTACTCCTATGGCTACGAGACCTATCACTAAGCCTTCGTTGCCTTTCAAGGATATTTCTCATTTTCGGAGCATTGTTGGCGGTTTACATTACTTGGCTGTCACTCGTCCAGACATTCAGTATGCTGTTAATCGAGTGTCTCAGACTATGCACAACCCCACCGAGCAGGACTATCATGCCTTGCAACGCGTTCTGCGCTATCTCAAAGGCACTTTGAATCATGGTCTTCTTTTTCGCAAGGGAGGATTCGACCTATCTGTCTACTCTGACTCTGACTGGGCCAATGATAAAGATGATCGCAAGTCTACCACGGGCTACATACTCCTACTCGGTCCTAATATCATCTCTTGGTGCACAAAAAAGCAGACTCGTGTTTCTAGATCATCCACTGAAGCTGAATATCGAGCTATGGCTGCAGGGGTTGCAGAAGCTATGTGGCTTCGATATATCACTGATGCACTGGGTATTCCTCCGCCCAAACCGAAGTTATACTGTGACAATGAGTCGACTATCTGTGTCACCAAAAATCCGGTTCTTCATGATCGCATGAAGCATGTGGGCACAGACTGTCACTTTGTACGAGATGAGGTTATGGCAAGCACTATGACTCCACATCATGTTTCCTCCTCAGAGCAGCTAACAGACATTCTTACCAAACCGCTTCCGCCAGTTCCTTTTGAGTACTTATGTTCCAAGCTGCCCCTCGTCTCCGTTGATCAGCTTGCGGGGGGATATTAGGAAGTATAATTAAATTAGGATACTTCTTTCCTTTCTTACTAGGATTATTCTTTCCTATTCCTACTTGTACTTTGATTACTCTTGTATTCCCTATATATAGGGCCATATCTCTCAATATTCAATAAGATAAGTTATTATCAAATTGTATCACCCGTTCTCGAAAACACTTTCTTTTTCATTTTTTCACTTCCAATAAAACACTTGTACTTTCTATTAAAAAACCATTTTGACTCTTACTTTTTCATACCATACCTATCACATCATACTTTTTCTCCAATAAGCTACTCATCACATTTTATTTTTACTCATCACATTAAGGACAAAATTGGAAGTCAACTACTCCCTCCGTCCCAGAAAACCTTTCTCCTTTCTTTTTTCATCCGTCCCAAAAAACACTTCTCATTTCTATTAAAAAGTCACTTTTACCCATTACTTTTTCATACCCTACCGATCACATCATACCTTTTTACTAATAATCTATCCATCAAATCATACTTTTACCCATTACATCAAAGGACATTTTTGGAAATTCAATACCAAAATACACTCACTTAAATTCCTCTTCAAAACCAAAACTCTCATGTTTTTCGGGACGGAGGGAGTACAATTTAACACTTCCTTATTTTTCCATTTTTCCAAAGTATGAACTCTTTTTGAGAACGAAGGGAGTATATAATTAGTAAATTAGTCATATATAACTGTTCTATTAAACCACAATTAAATTCTCAATTACTTTCTTTATGTATTTTTGTTAGTCACTTAATGTATTTTTGTAAACTTTTTGAAGCAGTTTTATAATGAAACAAATTCAATTAAAAATAATTTCAGTTAAATATCGTAAATGAAAATGAAAAAAAATATTTGAAAACGGAGGTAGTAATAATATTTGGACTAAATCAAATTCTGGCCAAGCAACTGCCGCCTCATGGCAAATCTTGGTTGGGTGGAGATGTGACATAAGGACTGATGAAACATTCAAATAAAATTGTCAACCATTATATATAATTAGTCATAAATAACTGTTCCATTAAATTTTAGGATAATATATTCTCCACTTTTCTTATTTTTCCGGAACGTCTTCTCCCCCTTGGCCTTTTTGATTACTCTATTTAAGCCATCCATTCGGGTCGTCATTTCCATGCAAAACACATCTTTTTCTCTTAACATATAACGACTAAAAATGCTACATTGAGAAAAAAAACATATGTAGTGTTATTTAGGGAAAGTCGTTATGTTTTAGTGCTATTTACGTAAATTCCTCTTTAAAATATCAACCAAAAACAAAAAAAGAACGTAACATTTTTAATTAGGGAAGAGATATGGAGAAGAAGAAGAAGCAGAGTCTGGAGGTCGCCGCGACACTGTTGAATTGCAGAGATTTCTTCATCAAGAAGAAGATTATTGTGAGATGGAGAAGAAATGCTATGTGGGGTCTAATTCTTTCTCTCACAATAGCCATAGCTTGTGAGCTTTCTTTCTTCTCTTCATTCCGGCATGCATTAATAATATAATTAATGATCATTTTTCTTCTTTTGCCATGCCATGTTTACCAACCATCAAGTCCTCTACCTCTACTAGCATCTCTCCATGTGTTTGGTTAATTAATGAAATTTGAAACATAATTTTGTTGAAATATTATACTCTCTCCGTCCCAAAAAGTCTTTCCTGTTTCATTTTTTGCGCATCCCATAAAACACTTCTACCGACATCTAAAATATCTAAAATTTACAACATTTCTTTTTTATTGTGGGCACAACATTTAAAACACTTTTACCCCTTATTTTTTCATACCCTACCTATCACATCATACCTTTTTACTAATAATCTATCCATCAAATCATACTTTTACCTATCACATCAAAGGACATTTTTGGAAATTCAATACCAAAATAAACTCTCCTTAAATCCTTCTCCAAAACCAAAACTCCCGTGTTTTCCGGGACAGAGGGAGTATATTTTTATACTCCGCAATATAAAGTTCGTCCATGGTGCATTTTTATACTTAGTATTTGTGAGAATGGATCTTGTGGATAGAAATGAGAATGTAGCATTTTTGTTCGCCCATGGTGCATTTTTCTATGCAGGTAGTGTGGAGTGCATTTTACAAAGTTCAATTAAATTACGAAACTCTCGCCATGTCTTTTTTAACTTTTTCTTATTTTTCAAATTTTTATAACACTTAGATCTCACATTCTAAAGCACCACATGCATTATTTTTCTTAAGATATCATTCTTACCATAACACATACACACACAGAGAGATACACACACACACACATATATATGTGTATATATATATGTATATGTATATGTATATGTATATGTATATGTATATGTATATATGTATGTATGTATGTATGTATGTGTGTTTGTGTGTGTGTGTCAATATATATATATATATATATATATATATATATATATAGGGGCCGGTTCCCGTGAGAATGCACCTTGTGGAGAGAAATGAGAATAAAATCTAGCCGTCGGATTTGATGCCTCGTGCGGCTTAGATTGCATCCTGCGCTCAGATTTTGAGATAGTGCATTTTCGAAGGTTTATGGTGCATTTTGACGTGATGCATTTTCGAACCATTTTGGTGCATCTAATTTTCATGAAATCTTGACCCTTAGATCTCACAATCTAAAGCACGAGATTCATTCTCATTTCTCTCCTAAGATTGCATTCTCACCAGAACCAAAATCTATATATATATATATATATATATATATATATATATATATATATATATATATATATATATATATATATATATATGGTTGATAAACTTTGTATGATATTTGTAATTGTTGATAACCCCTAATTTTTCCATTATTAGGTATTTGGTTTAACATGTTTTTGGTCTGTATTAGATAATACTCCCTCCATTCCTTAAATTCTTGCTTCTACTTAATCTTACTTTACGTATCACATCATACCTTTTTAATAATAATAATCTATTCATTACATCCTACTTTAACACATCATATCAAGGAGATTTTTAGAAAGTCAACACAAAAATATCTCTTTGTTAAATTCTCAAAAATCAATATATAAGGGAAGAATTTTAAGGAATGAAGGGAGGAGCTATTTTTGATTTTCAACCTCTAATTAATTTATTAAATCATAACTCCAAGGTTATTTTTTCTATTCAAAGAGTCCTTCCCCATTTTAAATACGGAGTATATGCATGTTTTATTTTTTTAGAAAGTAGAAGTGTTTTAGAGAATTGGAAAAAAACGAAAGGGGAAGCATTTTATTGAACGTAGGGAGTATACTTTTTGTTTTTGGGCGTTTTAAAATTCCTTTTGTTCATTCATCCTATTTAATTTGTTAGTTATAAAATGAGTTTATTATTAACTCTTTAGAGCAACTCCAGTTGTAAGAGCATGAACAATGGTGAGGCAAAAATGCAATGCCACACGCTGATGTGGAACATTTCAACCAATAAAAAACTGTCCAGTCAACGAGTGGCACGTGAGTGGAGTGGCATGCCTTGCAGTGGCAAGTCATTGTTTTCATCACTTTTTTCATATTTTTGCCATATTTGAATTATTAAAAATTATATTACCTATATATTTTTATCATGAAAATATTTTACGTAAACAACACTAAAACATAATGATTTTCTCTAAATAGCATCAAATGTATTTTTTCCAGTATCACACTTTTAGTCATTATTCAATAGTCATTATTCAATTAAATGTTCGCCATCACTGGACATTATACACATTATTAAGTACTATTTAGAAAATAAAACAATTTAAGTATTATATAGGGAAATGGCTTAAATTTTAATGATATTTAGTGCAAATATTTCTATGGGAATAATTCAATCAATCAAAAATAGTCTAGTACAAGAAAATAGATTGACATGTTATGCAATGACAAATCACTTTTTTGTCACTTTTTACATTTTTATGACATATTTTAATTATTGAAAATTATTTTAATTTTATTTATTTCATAAAAATACACGTACTCTGTTTCTAAAAATGTGCATCTTTTTTGTGCAAGAAAGAAAAATAGAATAAATATTAAAGAAAGTTTGCCTCGCTCACTACACGCAATGCGTGGTGGAATTCTGTTGCCATGCATGGCATCCTTGGTTTGCAGGTGATGTGGCAGTGCGAGGGAGCCAACCTGCACGCCACTACACATGCTCTAAAAGGTATCTTGGAGAGGTATATATCTCATTTACCTCTCCAAATGATCAAATTTACCTTTTCAAAAAGTGTGCAACTCCAATGGGACAAGTTAAATCAAGAGGTAAAAGAGGGAAAAAAATCCATCTCCATATATTATTGGGAAAATTTTAGTTGATTTACCTTCTTAAATCAAATTTTAATTATTAGAAAAGAAAATATACATTCTTAAAAAAATCATGGGGAGGTAAAATTATAAATACCTGAATAGAAAAAATTTAAAAATACAGAGTGCAAAATAAAAAACAAAGTATCATCATTTTTTTGTTAATTCTTGACTCGTTAAATTTTACAATTACAAAAATACAAATTAAAAATTTATAATAATACATTCAAGCAAAAATACAATAACTATAGTAATTGATGAAATAAATTTAAAAGGTGGGAAAAATTGATATACCTCCCCAAATGAAGAAGGTAAAGATACTTCTTCAAAATTGTAGAAGGTATAATGCCTCCTTATTTACCTCTTCCATTGGAGAAGGTTTTTTAATGAAAAGAGATATATATCACAAATATTCTTATTTACCCTTTCATATAGCCCTCTCATTGGAGTTGCTTTTACCCGTGCAATTTGGCATAACTTAGTAATTCCGTGCTACGGCTTGGAATTGTACATTTGATTTCTTCTCAATAGAATCATCAATATGAGAGTTTGATATTTCTGTCAACCAATGATCATTCTATTTCACCAGCTACCATTGTCACCGCTAATCGCCCTCGTTGCCGGCCACCCCTGCTTATCACTAATTAAATCATAATTTTAAATCTATCTAAACAAATTCATTGCAGATTTTAAAGCTCGTATAATTTCTCTCAAATTTCATAATTCATATCTTATCATATCTCCAAAATTCACCAAACGGACTCTTATCAGAGGAAGACTATTCATAAATATTGTTATTCCCTCCGTCCTATAATAATTTTACCAGAGCACTATTCCAACTTCACGAAAATTTATATTTATTTGTGTTTTTTCATGGCCTATATGATAAAATAAAATATTCTTGTCAACACTTGTGTTGTTGAACTTTTGATGTAGTTTTTAAATGGAGTATGTATGTTTTATTTTTTATTTCTATACCAATATTTAAATAAAATAAATTGAAAAAACGTGAGATTTTTCTTCGTTTTGCGAACTGGGAAGATCATTATAGGACGGAGGGAGTATAATATTTAAATACAAATATTTCAAAAAGACTGCAAATAAAATTGGAGTTTTAGTTTTTTCTTTTGATGGGGGTTCAGGTGTAGCAGCAGAGGGCGAAAGGGTCACCAGGAGGCTACAAGCCAGTGGGAGAAAAAATGTTGTTGAGTCAGCGAGAGCGGTGGTTGCCGCCGAAGATGGGCGGTGCTCTGAAATTGGGGTGTCGATCCTTAAAATTGGCGGCCATGCGGTGGATGCAGCGGTTGCGACTGCTCTATGTCTCGGGGTTGTCAATCCCGGTTCCAGTGGGATTGGCGGCGGAGCTTTCATGCTCGTCAGATCTTCTTCTTCTTCACGGATAGAGGCGTTTGACATGAGAGAAACTGCTCCGTCAGCTGCTTCAAAGGTTCTACTCCCTACTATGTCCAAATCTATTTGTTGAGTTTGTATTTTAGGGTTCTACTCCCTAAAAATGGGACTTGCGCTTGCTAGAGATTCGTTTCAAATGAGTGTAACTCATTGTGAGGATTCGTTTGAAATGAGTTGTTCTTTTTGGAGAGGGAGGGAGTAAGTGATTTGTCACTGTTTTCTAATAATGGGAAAATTAGGGATTATCAACAATTACAAATCGCATACAAAGTTTATCAACAATATACCTAGAGATTTGTTTCAAATGAGTGTAACAATTCGCTGAACATGGTTCAATTCATTGTGAGGATTCGTTTGAAATGAGTTGTTTGTTTCACTATGTGAAAAAACTGAACATAGGTAAAACATTACATGCTCTTAATCTCCTGAGATGGATCCCGATGTGTAAATATGATTTTTTCTTGCAAAACAGGACATGTACAAGAACAACGAGACTTCCAAGGATAAGGGAGCACTTTCAATAGGAGTTCCCGGCGAATTAGCTGGTCTTCATGAGGCTTGGTTGAAACACGGCCGTCTCCCTTGGACTACTCTATTCCAACCAGCCATAAAACTTGCTAGGCACGGGTTTCGCATTGCTCCATATCTAGCATCCAACATTGCAAAAAACAAAAATCTTATAATGAATGACACTGGGTTGCGCCAAGTATATGCACCAGATGGGAAGTTGTTACAAGAGGGAGATATATGCTACAATGTGGAACTTAGCAACTCCCTAGAGGCAGTTGCAGGACAAGGACCTAAGGCCTTGTATGACGGCCTGATTGGTGAAAAATTGGTAGAAGATGTGAGAAAAGCTGGCGGGATACTGACAATGAATGATTTAAGGAACTATGCAGTCAAAATTACTGATCCTGTTGCTGTCAATGCTTCGGGATATACTATATTCGGCATGCCACCTCCATCAAGTGGAACTCTTGGTCTCTCCCTGGTGTGATTTTTTCCACTTCTTTACATTCTTCTTTTTTTCTCTCATGATATATTTCGAGTAAAATGTATTTTTGGTCTTCAGGTTGGCAATATTAGTCACATTACAATACCTCTTGACAATTAAGACTGTTCTGACTAGTGTTGCCAACCCCAACAGCTGCGTATCAAAAATGCATTCTACGGTTTTCTACCCATATATTTCAGTGGACTAATCTCGTGAGTTATTTGCATTTGGGAATTATAGATTCTCAAAGTCTTAGAAGGCTTTCCCAATTCGGATGCTGCAAAAGGTCCTCTGGGTCTGCATCGTATGATCGAAACGTTGAAACACATGCTCGGGGTGCGAATGAACCTTGGTGACCCTGATTTCGTCGATGTCAGTAGCACCATCTCGGACATGCTTTCCCCTTCTTTTGCAAAGAGAATTCGACGGCGGATATATGATAACACCACTTTCCCATCTAAATACTACATGCCGAGGTCAATTTGAAATATACATGAAGAATTGTAAGGCTCCGTTTGGTGGGGATTATGTGGTGTATTCTACTTATGAACTTTTTTTAAACCCAATGTTACAGGTGGAGTCAACTTCAAGACCACGGAACGAGCAACTTCTGCATTGTAGATGGAGATCGAAATGCTGTGTCAATGACAACCTCAATTAACTTTGCTTTTGGAGCTGGAGTTATGTCTCCTTCAACGGGCATTCTGCTCAATGACGAAATGGGAGATTTCTCAATACCTACCGAAGTATCTCCCGATACGCTCCCTCCCTCTCCAGCCAATTTCATTAGTCCTAACAAAAGGCCATTATCCTCCATGACCCCCATCATTATTCTTAAGGTACATTGTTTATGGATGGGTTTTGCTGATCACTATATTACCTTCTCCAACTCAGTATAGCTGATAATCCTTCTTGATGGATGCACTTGCTAATAGGATAATCAGTTGGCTGGTGTGATTGGAGGTAGTGGCGGGATTAACATAATTGCAGCAGTGACCCAAGTTTTCATTAATCACTTTGTGTTGGGCATGAATCCCTCTGTAGCAGTTCAAAGTCCAAGAGTTTATCACCAGGTTCCGCAGATTTTCTATTCACATGGTTCAAAAAACTTTCCAGTCTTGGTCCCATAGTTACTGGGTTATTTTATCTTTTGGTCCTTAGCTTTTGACTTTTTGCTACTATTGGTAAATGTAAATGGATATGGACTACTTGTCACTTTTAGTCCTAATCACTTACACAGCCAATTTCTAGCTGATGTTTGCTGGGTTAGTGACCGAAAAGAACCAAAAATGACAATAAATCAAAAGTCATGGAGCAAAATTGGATATAAACTATTAGTCCTGGGCCAAAAAAGAGAGGTTTTCAGGCACAATGTATAACGATCCACAATGTGTTGTTCTCTGCAGTTAATTCCGAATGTAGTGTTGTATGAAAACTGGACTGTCATAGACGGCGATCACATTGAGCTTTCGGATGAAAAAAAGCATTTCTTGGAAGAAAGGGGTCATCAGCTACAGGCACAAAATGGAGGAGCAAGCTGCCAATTTGTTGTTCAAAGCCTACCAAAACCTGGGGAAGTGTTGGGCGTGCTCACTGCTGTGAGTGATCCCAGGAAAGATGGAAGTTCTGCTGCCATCTGATGACACTCACATCCCTTGTTCCTGAATTTGTGCATCTGTTTGGCCTATTGAATAATGACATATTGCATAAGGGACCAACAGTTCTGTTTATTTTTATGTAATTGTCTCTACTTGAACATCACAGTATTACACACACACACACACAAAGTAGAGTTTTTTGAGTTATGGTGTTGACATATAGTATGCCATTTGTGCAATAATAACGATGTGCCCCTATCTTATTGATCCATGTGTCGTGAAACTGTTTTTTTACATTTGTTTTTTTTAAATTGGACTTATATCTAAATAGACCGTGCGTCGGGTTTCGCACTAGGTTGAGATGCTATATTACTAAAATTGTCTAAGTACGAGTCTGACCCCACTCGCTACAACTTTTTCAGTGTCGCTTTGGAAAAAGTATTGTATTATGAAAAGAAAATTGGGGTGTCGTTTCGGAGGGAAAATTGTTGTACAAAAAAGATTGTCTTCGATTAATGAGATTTTTTAAAAAAAATATAAATAAAATTGAAGGTAACTACAACTTTGATGTTGTGAGTTTTTTTAATAAAAATCTTAAAGAGATTTAAACTTCAATGATAAAATTTATGTGGGGTAAAATTGAGTTTGTGTGAAAAATAGGATAAAAACTTTTTTCTTTTGAATTTTATCAATTAAAACTAAAATAAAAGTGATGTTGGCTAAAATAAAAATTACTCGTGTATATTAAAATGTAGAAATCACCCCAATAATATCATATTTTGCTCTTTTAGACTTCTTTATCTCTGATGTAGCAAAAAAATTCACTAATTTCTAGCTTTGGAGTATGAAAAAATAAAGCAAAATGCTCTTTCAACTATCTATGTTTCTTTTAACAGTGAAATACTCCATTCATTCAACAATAATGATCTATTTTTGAATAAATGTAGACTTAAGTATGTCTACATTCACTCAAAATTTAATATATCTAATTTACTTTAATAGACAATTATTGTGAAATGGGAAGAGTACTAGTTACTTAATACGACTTTCAACACTCATCAGTCATCACAAGTCATCTAGAAACAACTTATATGCTTTGAACATAGGTTCAAGTTATTTTTATTTCTTATTGATGTATCAATTTGTAAATAAAATCATTTTAAAAATTATGAGATTTTACATCCTAATTCTCATTTGACCTAAGGTCCACCATAGACCTACATCTGAGTAAATTAAGTATTTCTTTATTAGAGAGTACTTAAATAAGCATCTATTTTTTAATTAAAAAAATAAAAAAAGTTTTTTATGTGAGAACGTCCACAAAAATAGTACGCACCTCATGTACACCAAAGAAGCACTCATTTTGTAATAAAAAAAGGACGGAAAGAGTATTATTTAAGATAATTAGCCTTTAATTTTTTACCATTTATACTAAATTATTACAAATAAACAAGATGGTGTGTGTGCCAAAAAATAAGGTGAGAACAACGTGGCAAATGCGTTGGATGCATAGTTATGGTAATGGAATATGGCTGCCCATCAAATAATTGTGGCCAGTCATTTTCATGCTAACACCAAATTGTTTTTCTGCCCGCATGGGTAGCTCAGTTGGTCAAGAGCGTGAAATCTTGGACCGATGACCAGGAATCGAAGCCTGCAAGCGGCAGTGTGGGAGCTATCCAAAAATCCCATAAAGGGTGAAGAGGCTCCTTGTGCGCGGTGGGCACGGGTCTAGCGTTTTTGGCCGACTGAGTCACCATGATTTACATCCTCCACCATTCCTGTCGGGCAAGGGGGTGGGGGCGCCTGGGGTGGGCGATTCCACCTTTTGGACCAAATTGTTTTTCCCAATAAAAACATCAAAAAAAACCAAAAAAAAAAAGAGAAAAAACAAAGAGAGATGAAGAAGCAGCAGCAACAGAGCCTGGAGGCCGCACTGCTGAATTGCAGAGAAATGGATTTGTTGAACAAGAAGATGAGATGGAGAAGAAGAGCTCTGTGGGGTCTTATTCTCTCCCTCACCATAGCCATAACTTGTGAGCTTTCTTTTCCCAATTCCTCCCCTCATCATCAATTTCCATCTCTTTGCCAAAGATGAATTCTGGGTCTGTAGTGGTGAGTTTGAGCTTTGCTTACAGGTGTAGGGCTAATTGTATGCAACAGTTTGGGCATTTTGAAAGCAGCAGGGGAGGGAAAAAGGGTCACAGGGGGGAGGCTACAAACCAGAAATAATGTGGTTGAGTCAGAGAGAGCGGTGGTTGCCGCCGATGACGGGCGGTGCTCCAAAATCGGGGTGTCGTTCCTTAAAATTGGCGGTCATGCGGTGGATGCGGCGGTTGCGACTGCTCTATGTCTCGGTGTTGTGTATCCCGGTTCCAGTGGAATTGGGGGTGGAGCTTTCATGCTCGTCAAATCTTCCTCTTCTTCATCTTCTTCAAGAATAGAAGCGTTTGACATGAGGGAAACGGCTCCCTTAGCTGCTTCAAAGGTTACCCCCGTATCTTATTACTTCAAAATTGTATTTCATTATACTTATATGCAATACAAACTGAGAGTAATTGAAGCTCAAAGTTTATCCAGTTTGACTCGAAAAAGTCAAACTAAACAAATACAGTGAGACAGATAGAGTGTTTTGTTCTTACCAAACAGGACATGTACGCGAACAACGGGGATTACAAGTATACGGGAGCACTTTCAATGGGCGTTCCGGGCGAATTAGCTGGTCTTCATGTGGCTTGGTTGAAACACGGGCGTCTCCCTTGGACGACTTTGTTCCAACCAGCCATAAAACTCGCGAGGCACGGGTTCACCATTTCCCCATATCTGGCGTCCCACATTGCCAAAAAACGAGACGTTATAATGAACGACTCCGGGCTGCGACAAGTGTATGCACCAGATGGGAAGTTGTTGAGAGAGGGAGATAAATGCTTCAATGTGGCACTTAGCAACACCTTAGAGGCAGTTGCAGAAAAAGGACCCGAGGCCTTGTATGGTGGCGTGGTTGGTGAAAAACTGGTTAAAGACGTGAGAAAAGCCGGCGGGATCTTGACGATGAATGACCTGAGGAAGTATAGGGTGAAGATAACCGACCCGGTTGTTTTCGATGCCATGGGGTATACGGTATTCGGCATGCCACCCCCGTCGAGTGGAACTCTGGGTCTCTCCCTGGTGTGTTTTTTTTTTTTACATTCTCTTCTGTCTGGTCTGTTTCGAGTAATTAAAATGCATTTTTTTTCGTGGACTCAAATAACTTCCTGACTTATATGCATTTGGGAAACATATATAGATTCTCAAAGTCTTGGAAGGTTTCCCCAATTCTGCTGCTGCAAAAGGTCCTCTGGGTCTGCATCGTATGATCGAAGCGTTGAAACACATGTTTGGGGTGCGAATGAACCTTGGTGACCCCGATTTCGTCAACGTCACTGGGACAATCTCGGACATGCTTTCCCCTTCTTTTGCAAAGAGAATCCGGCGGCGGATATATGATAACACCACTTTCCCATCTGAATACTACATGCCGAGGTCAATTTAGAGTATGAAGGTGTGATTAATATCAAGGCTCCGTTTGGTGGGGCATATATGAACTCATTTGACATTAGAGGATGTTACCAAATTTTTTTACCTGTTCAACCAAATGACCCTTACCAAACGAGAACCAAGTGTTTTCCTCGAATAGTCTTTGATCTTGAACTTTGTTTTTAGCTAATGTTACAGGTGGAGTCAACTTCGAGACCACGGAACGAGTCACTTCTGCATTGTAGATGGAGATCGAAATGCCGTGTCAATGACAACCACGGTGAACTACGCTTTTGGAGCTGGAGTTATGTCTCCCTCCACCGGCATCGTGCTCAATAATGAAATGGGAGATTTCTCAGTCCCTACCGAAGTATCCCCCGAGAAGCTCCCTCCCTCTCCGGCCAATTTCATTAGTCCTAGCAAAAGGCCATTATCCTCCATGACCCCCATCATTATTCTTAAGGTACATTGTCTGTGGATGGTTTGGCTAATCACTATATTACCTTCTCCAACTCAGTATGGCTGCTAATCCTTCTTGATGGATGCACTTGCTAATAGGATAATCAGTTGGCTGGTGTGATTGGAGGTAGTGGTGGGATTAACATAATTGCAGCAGTGACCCAAGTTTTCATTAATCACTTTGTGTTGGGAATGAATCCCTCTGCAGCAGTTCAAAGTCCAAGAGTTTATCACAAGGTTCCTATTCATAAGATTCAGAAAACTTGCCAATTTTGGTCCCGTAATTATTGAGTTATTTTATCTTTTGGTCCTTCACTTTTGATATCTTGCTAGTTTTGGTTCATAGATATGGACTACTTGTCCCTCTTAGTCCTGCAAATCACTTATCCAGGCAATAAATCTAGTCGATGTTTGCTGGATAAGTGACTGGAAACGCCCAAAAGTGACAATAAATCAAAAGCCGTGAAGCGAAATTGGGAATTAACTAAGAGTTGTGGGCCAAAACTCCCAAAAACGAAAAAGTCTTGGGCAGTATTTGGCACCGTGAATGTAATGATTCGCAATGTGTTGTTCTCTGCAGCTTATTCCAAATGTAGTGTTGTATGAGAACTGGACTGTCATAGACGGCGATCACATTGAGCTTTCGGATGAAAGAAAGCATTTCTTGGAAGAAAGGGGTCATCAGCTAGAGGCACAAAATGGAGGAACAATCTGCCAATTTGTTGTTCAAAGCCTGCCAAAATCTGGGAAAGTGCTGGGCAACCAAACGTTCCATGGCATGCTCACTGCTGTGAGTGATTCCAGGAAAGATGGAAGTCCTGCTGCCATCTCATGACACTCACATTCTGTTTGTCTATATAAAAAAAATGTGCTTTTATTGAATCATGTGATATTGCATAATGGGCAACCAATTCTTCTGTTTATTCTTTATGTGATTTGGATTGTCTACATAAACATTTGAAGCGTTTAACAAGTACAAAATACCTTAAGAAGATGATCATTGAAACAAAGCAAAGGCAATTCAACAATATGATAATTGAAGATGTTTGGTTGGTTCCAGACTGCAAAACTACCTACTTATGATGCTTTTTCCATGAGTTGTATGGGAGTAAGAATGTTGGACTTGCTGGTCTCAACAATGCACCCATTCATTACCATCTCCTCCAGCATGAAGTGTGTTTTCTCGAGATGAAACATTATGTCCAACTCACACTAGTAAATCCAAAACGAAATGAATAAAAAAACCATGAAATAGAGCTCTAGTACTAATACATCCGTCCCGAAATAAACTTCATCGTTTGAAACATTGACTTCAATAAGTTAAAGAAATCTGTTTCATTCCTTAATACAAAAGGAGAAGAGTAGTTTATTTTGGGATGGACCGAAAAGTTAAAGGTGAAGATTTTTTTAATAACTATTATTATAGTCATTACTAGCTCACCACATTGCCAAAATGACGATCCATTGTTTCCACAAGCAGGTGAATGAATTCCAAAATGGCAAGCTCATTCTGCAAATATCACATAACAGAATTGGCCTCATTGAAAGCTAAGTGTGGCTATATACCTCTGACTCATTTGGTTAAGAATGAACTCAATAATTAAACTAGATGCAGTTGGGTGAACCCCAGTTGTGTGTACAAAAATGTTTTAAGTAGATATCTATTATAAGTGAACTAAGTGAATACTCCGTACATTAAAAGGTTATTCAGATGAAGGTTATCCAACTGAATGCTGATGAGGGGAACTCGGCCTCTCACACCCCATATTCGGAGATTCTCCAAAAATTGGGTTTTTGGGGGTTCTCCAAGTTGAACCCAAGTTCTTTAACAGCCTATGTTATTGTCATCAAACTTAAACACGGGAGCCTAAAACTGCCAAGGTGGGTTTTATTGGTGAGGTTATAGGTGAAGTATTTAAGTATTAAACTGTGTGATTTGGTACACATATGCAGATTATTAAGTAAGAACGTAGGGGGTACTCCATAACAAATAACAGCAAACACATCATTGATCGGTCGAACTAAACTTACTTCTTCATTGTCGACTCCAACCAGGAAAAACAGCGACGCATATCTCCTGTAAACGACTTTGTAATTGCGATGCTCCACAAAAGAACACTGCATTCAGAAAAAACCTATCATATTTGTCAAATGACACTCCTACAAGCATTGATCAAACAAGAAATTTGAAAGCAACATATAAAATATTATACACGCTCTGTGCCACCGAAATTCGCTAACCTAGCACTCAATCCACTACCAACTACCTTCACACATTCTTCCCCCCTGTACCCAATCAAAGATCTTGCTAGGACCAATTTTCCATAACTTTGTTTCATGATCCATAAACTTATCCCCTCTCTCATTCATATTTCATAATGTGCACAAGTTAGGGCATGATCAGCTGATTCGAATGAACCAGCCAATTCATCAAAAACTTCAAATAACACCGGGATCCGGAACCCTAACTGTTAATCGCGATCCGGGCCGGCGTTCATCAGACAAAGAACAATTATTTCAAACAAAAAAAGGGGTGCAGAATACATTCAACAGTCCTCAGATCGGAAAAATCAGCAAAATTAAGGAGAAAGATGAATGGGCGTAGAAGCGCATGTGCCTGTTGTTCGTTGCGAGTGAGGCATTTGCGAACGATTTCGCCTTCAAGGGCGCGCCTTTCTTCAAGGGTGAGGTATTCGTAGTACTGGGCAAGCCGAGTCTGACCTTGCTTGTTCACCATTAATATGAATCGAATCCCCATCTTTCTTCCACCCGCCCTCCAATTCTCCGCAGAATGGGAGTACTGCCCCTTGCTCCTCGGTATTTTAAAGGAAAATTAGCCAACAACAAAATTCCACTTGATTTTATGGAGTTTTAAAAAAGTATTGAAAAATTAAAAGCGGATGAAATTTGAGTAAAGTGAAAAGAGATTGTGGATTCTTTATTTTATTAGAAAAATAAAGAAATGAGACAATTTATTTGGAATAGACCAAAAAGAAAGTTAGATGGTTAATTGAACAAAAGTAAATTTCTTATGCCGAAATAAATTTAAACGTTTTGATCTAATTTTCATGTTGGTCGTTGTTTTCTCCGATATCAGTCCTCACATAAATATATATGTACGTCTCATTACTTCATTAATATACATTATCTTTATTCATCATCTTCGTCACTATAAAAATTTTCAAATGATATAGTATTTTCAAATATATTCATGTTTTGTAAAAATATTGCATTGAGTTTCTTCCTTAGTTTGAGTGGTATAAATAAACATCTCAATGATTCTAGATGGAAAGCTAACTAGGTTCAACTATTGGCGGAACGTTGACTCTATGAGTTTCAGCAGGTTGAGAAAGTATACCCAAAATGATTGGCATTTTGATCTCTAGCACTTACGCTTGAAGAAGAGACTATATTCTTCATATACAATAATACAATAACATATTATGGAGTATTATTTCACATCCTTCATACTTCTTATCTACCCCTAAGATCTTTTCATTTTGATTTTTTATGGTTTGAATGACACTTGAAAAAAGATAAAAATTTACCAAAATTCCCATAATGAAAATGGGATTGAGCGTATTAACTAAGGTGAGTGAGGTTTAGTAATAAAAGTAAGTAAGGCTACTTGTGGTATTTTAAATGTTAAATAAGTAATGAGAAGATCAATGAGAAATAAATAAGAAGGCCAAATGNGATATTATTTACACTCTAGCGTTCGATGACTGTTGAGACTTGAGATGTCTTCTATGTATTTTGGTTCATAAGTAAAACTTATTTTCATAAGAAATTTTTTTTGTATTTTCCGAATGTAGGAGTGTGTATAAACATGAGGAGTGTCTAATTTACATTCCTTTTTCTTATGGAAATAAAAAAATTGTAGCTTCTTTAGAGCATCTCCAACCATAATTGCTAAGCATGACTGGTTAAAGTTATTTTTTAGCATGTGAATAGTGATATAGTAAGCCATTTTGCATTGTCATCTCCAACCTTCCCTTACTATAATTTACTTAGCTAACAATTACTATATTATATTGTTTTCACTATTATAACACACTCTTTATAATAATTATTCAATTATATATTTTATATTAAAAAATTTAAGTAATAAGTAAGTAATTTAAAAATAATAATTTCAAAAAATAATACGGAGTATTATTTTACTTTAGGGAAAATAATAAAATATCGGAGCACTGTTTTAAATATTTAATAAATACCAATTAAAGAGTAGAGGAAAAAAACTTTACAAAATGTAAAAAAATTAGAGAATAGAAGTAACTATATATTTTGAGAAGAATGAGAGAAAAGAATAGAGAAATCAAATATACAATCTATATCATGGTTTGCTATATTTTGAGATACTTATTATACTCCCTCTATCCCTGAAAACATTTCCCCTTTCTTTTTTCATCCGTCCCTAAAAACAGTTTTTATTTCTATAAAAAAGTCACTTTTATCCCTTACTTTTTCATACACTACCTATCACATCATACTTTTTACTACTCCGTAATAATCTATCCATCAAATCATACTTTTACCCATCATATCAAAGGACATTTTTGGAAATTCAATACCAAAATACACTCCTCTTAAAGCACTCTTCAAAATCAAAACTCTCATGTTTTCCGGGGTGGAAGGAATATAAAACAAGCAAAAGTTAAAATTTACCAAGTATGTTATAGTATAGCAAGCCCCTTGGATCACAAAAACTAAAAATGAATTGCCAAATAATGACATTTAACATCTCACAAGGACCACCGTACCTACAAAACATCTACAAGTGGTACCCATGAAAATTTATACAAGTACACCATGCTTTTAAGGTACAGTACATCCAAGTATTACTACATATGATTAGGGCTTGTTTTTTTCACAATATCTGATTGATTCTGAACTAATTAAAATAAATTTTGATCTGATTTGAATGCAATTATATTTAAATCCATATGCACAAATTCTGTTCTTTCTTTTCAAACCCATATGCACAAAATGCATAACAAGAAGCCAGCATAACAAGAAGCCAGACAGACAACCCGAACACTCAATAAAAAACACTTCTCAAGGCAAATGTTGTCAAAAAAACAAACACACAAAAAAAGATGTGCTTTAAAATTTGAAAACAGTATTTTCAAATCACAAAGCACGTTAAAAAACTGATAATCCGAACACCCTTAGCAAAGCACACGTTACATAAAATTGATTAATAGTATCTCTTAGAGAAGCTAATAGGTTTTATTACAGCGTGGAAGGATCTTCAATACACTCTTGAGCAGAATATACGAGAGAGTATGATTATTATGCCGATCCCATCTTCAAAAACACAAGCTTTTTTTAGCAGGCGGGAGCCTCTGTCAGCCACCGTGTAACCGGCTGCCCACAAACTCCTGACACTTTCAATGAGGTGAATAGGCAAGAAAGTTTTGCTATCATGGGCCGTGTCCGAGTCTTTGCCACTCTGGGCATGATTGCCAGTTGCTTGCCGGAATAATTGTCAGGTGAGCTGTGATACCCTTCAAGATCTGCCTTTGTGATCAGTACAGCATCTGCAGGGGAAAATGCATGAGAGGAGGATGCCGTACGTTGCTGCTTGAAATCTTGGACAGCCTGTTTCCTTACACAGAGACGGAAGAGTACACTAATGAGCTTATAGCATCTTTCTTAAAATTTCAATGTGAGGGTGTAGATAGTTCATTGAATATTCATAACAATTTCCAAAGGCCTTGTTTAGTAGATATAGTTCCTGTGTTCCTTGACAAACTTTTTTGTTCACTTTTGCCTTGGAGAATGAGTGGTTGAGATTTATTTGGAAAGAAAAGAGAAAACATCCACCACACATTCTTTGGTCTAAGAGGGAAAGGTGTAGTTTATTTGGGACAACAAACGAAGTAAAAAGGTGAAGTTTCTCAAGGACAGGAGGGAGTAGCATTTTGACCAGTTAGCAAATTTTAATAGTGTTATGACTAGATGAGCTGAAGTTGGGGTCTGGTTAATGCTTTTGCCATAGCAGTTTGGGTCAGACCCAAATATAAAGCATCTTTGAAGTTCGGTATATACTTTTTCCATACATGAAACGACCAACTTAAGGCATTACCTTCCATTGGGAAGGAGCCAACAGTACTCTAGGTCTTATAGAGCGGACATACTCCAGTGCTGCAGCAGGGCTCATGTGTTTATACTCCACCTGAAAAGTATGGAAGCATAAAAACCCCAATAATTGTCCTCAGGTTTCAAAAGCAAACAAGCTGTCCTATTGGAATTAATAAGCAGTAGCAAAAGATCAAAAACCAAATAGCAAAGCACAATGGTAGTGCTCCTTCCTCTCCCTGCTTTGCAATGTACGTATGTAGTCCGTCCGCTAGTTGCATTCTCTGTAACCAACAAAGAGAGTCATGCGGCAGCAAATAGGGCTTTAAGTTTAACAGTGGCAGAGTCAGATTAGAAGATGCACTAACTGTGAATAAAGTCCACTGCTTGGTTAATGTCGCCAAACGAAGGGGCAAACAGGTAATCCCGAGTTGGAATTACAAGATGTTCGATCTCATGTGCCTAAAACAATTGAAGTAGAAATGATGTTAAGACTTGGTAATGTTAATCCATGTTTATGAGTGGATAAAATGAGTAAAATTGAATATCTAAAAACAATTATTGAATTTTAGCCTCTCTTACTTTCCCCACACTTTCTTCCCACCCATTTTTATTCTATTTTTCCCTCCCATTATCTTTCCCTAGCAGTTTCCAGGCTCTAAATGGAACCTAAAGTTTTCTATACAGGCTAAACTTTTTGGTTATATTTCAATGAAAGAATATATTCCAGCACCACGATGTGAAGGCACAAAAAAGAGAAGTTATTTAAAAAAATGTTCTTAATACATCACAACCATATCTTCGGAGAAAACATGATGTTAGATATTAAACGTATTACATGATATAATGATGTTGGGACCAAGGTTTCATAGGGTTCATTCAGAGTGATAACACCACCAACGCCAAGCTGCTTCAAGCGCGGAACATCCTTGGGAAATGGCACCGCTCCAAGCAAAATAAACTAAACAACCAGTGAAAAAAACAGATATTAGCTAGTTCAATTTCATCTTTATAATTTCACACAACGGCATACAAGCGAAACATAAACAATTAATCCATAAAAGCACCCAATAAGCTAAATAATCAAACTTCTCCCTCCTATAAACTCAATAAGATAGATTAAACGATCAATTGCTTCAGTATAAAGCTGGAAAACAAACCTCGTCGACCTGATCCCACCATCTAAACTCGGCCTGAATTTTGTTCCGGAATACATTGTAGAGCAAAGTCGGATAAAATAGGATCCTCGCTCCAGCTCCAACCAGCGCCCTCTTCGCTTCAACAGGCACTATCATCATGCTTCTCTCATCCTCAGCACCACACTTACTGTCACTACTACAATCATCCAAATATTCGATCTTCATCTCGACCCGAAAAACACACTTGGAACCCTAACTCCAAACCAACCGGCCTCCTGTAATTCGAGCTCTAATCGACGCAACAGAGGAATCGAATCCCGATTTTTTCCAGAAAATCGACGAAGATTGGATCGGCAGACAGCATGTTCGGTGATGATTCGAACAAGATCAGACGATATTCCCGAGGAGATTATACGGATCGGGAGAGGAAATTGTAAGAAGACCGAAGCGTTGGGGAATTGAAGATTAGAGAGTATTTATGTGGTGATTTGAACAATTTAGATTGAGATTTGAAGACGATCGTCGATTAATCCCAAAGGATCAGAGAGAGAGAGAGAGAGAGAGTCAACCGTCAAGAGAGTAGAGAAAAGGATGAGAAGGGAGCGCTATAGAGGTGGAGAGGCTTTCGGTTATTTACCAACCAATCCCTTCTATATACTCCCTCTCTCCTCACAATAAAAATTCTATTTTTTGAAGTCAAATTTTATTTAATTTCTTCATAAAAATCTATTTCTTTTTTTTAGTTTTGTTATCTATTTAATAAAATGATATAATTATATCGGTCTCGCTTATTTTTAATTTTATTCTTAAATAGTAGAACATATGGAGTATAATTTTTAATTTTTTTTCAATACCAATTTATATCAGTCTCGTTTATTGTTTCAATACCAACTTTGTACTTAGGTAATTAATTTAGGATACATGTAACCCGTGCGTATAAGACGTGGCAAATATATTTTTTTATCAAATTATTAAAAAAATATATAAATAAATAAAAGTTATTAAGAGACTGTAATAATAATTATTTGGACATTGATGGTGGGAGGGGTAGTATATGAAAGGAAGACATTTTTAGTCACATTTAGATAATGAAAGCTAAGTTTAGAGAAGTGAAACTTAGGAGTTAAGGACACGAAAAAAATATCAAACGGATGCAAACACACTCTTTTGGTGAAAATGAAGATTAGCCATACATTAGTGTATCCACCCTTAGTTGTTAAGAAAACTTCCGTGGTATTAATTGTTAATTATTTTTTAATTAGACTTTGCATTTTGGATAATCTTTTAAGAGAAAAGCGCACTAATTACCCTCAAGTTCTTTGAAAATTGTACGATTTACATCTGGACATTAAAAGATGGACCAAATATTACTGAGCAATTAAAAACATTGCACGGTTAGTCCCTTTAAAAACATAAAAAAATAATTTGAAACTAAGTATAAAGACTAAAATGCCTCCATCTCACATTTACTCTAGTTGGAAACATGGGTGGCCCGGAGGGTGTGCAAAGTGGCCAACCGCACAGGGCCCTTAAAATTTTAGGGTCCCATATTTTTAAATTTATAATTAATTTTGAAATAAAAGTATTCTAAAAGAATAAAATAGGGCCCAAAATATAAATCTCAGACCGGGCCAATTTCATTTTTTTAGTTTTTCGAGGCCGACCCTGGTTGGAAACATGAGTTGTCCCCGTGGGGTTTCCGGCGGGCGGCCAGCCATCGTCGGAATCTCTGTTTTTCTTTGACGGGAAGTTTGTGGATGCTGCCGCCGGGAAGTAGGCGAAGAGAGACGCCACTGGCTGCCGCTGAGCACTCTATTCCTCCGCTATCGGCTCCCCGCTGTCAAGTCGTAATGCAATCCAAGTATCCACCTGAACTTGAATCAACTAAGGGGCTGTTTGTTTCAGCCGCTTAATGGTTCAGATGTCTGAATGAGTCAGACTGTTTGTTTCGTGAGCAGATGTCTGAATGGTTCAGACATTTGCCTCTGAATGGTTAAGTATTATTCAGAGTCTGAATAGTTAAGACCTCTAATCTGAATTGATCAGACATTTGACTCTGAATAGTTAAGCAATATACTAGCTCTTAATGGTTCATGCCTCTTACTGGTTCAGCACTTAATGGTTCAGACTTTTTACTGGTTCAGCACTTACATATTCAGAAGTTACCAAACAGCCCCTAACATTTCTAATCTAAATGCTTAATAAATCATAAAAAAGAAGAAACAAAAGTAAAACAAATTACCTCGTATGGAGTATATGAGAAGGTGAGGGCATTTTAGTCTTTATAAGATGTTTTTAATACTACCTCCGCCCCCCTGTATTTGTCCACTTTCATTTTTACACACCATCCAATGCACTTCTTTAATCCATTTTATCTTGTAATTTGTTTATTAAAAAATTATAAAAATTATATATTAATAATCTATATGTTAAGACAAATCAAACAAGATCACACATGACTATATTTAGGCTTACATATTGAGAGAATTTGATGAGTCAAAGTTTTTAGATGAACAGTTCCAAAACTCAAATGTGGACAAATACATGGGGACGCAGGGAGTATTATTTTTTCATATATACTAAAAGGGTCAATCGTGCAACGTTTTAAATTGTCCAGCGGTAATTGGTACATTTTTTAATGTTCAGGGATAAATCATGTAATTTCAAAGAGTACGGGGCAATCAGTGCACTTTTCTCAAATTTTTAATGATATAGATTAATTTCAAAAAAAATAAATTAAATAGTATCGTTAGACAATTTTTTTAAATCATAAAAATTAGACGATGTGGTTGCCAAACGGACCCTAGATCAAACTACTTGTAGAGTTTTTTTTGCGGAAGATCTTTTTTTATAAAATCTTCCAACCTCTTTTTTAAAGAAGAAAGACCAAAGTAGGATTAAAGCATTAAAAACATATCAAAATAGAACTTTCATGTTTTTATTCTCGAAATTGGACTTACATTACCAAAAAAGTATAGTAATGTACACATGTATAGTACCACATTACCACAGTGCAAAGTCCTACTTTGGGGAAAAAAACATAAAAGTCTTATTTTGGTACTTTTCTCTATGTTTTAGTCATATTTAGAGTGATTTCAAAAATTTAACAAGAAAAAGAGAATATCGAATGAAAAAGAGTGAATTTCATAAATGATCTCATCAGAAGAGGTTTTTCATATATAATCCTCACTTTTGAAATATATTGTTCGTTGTTTATTTTATTTAAAAATTATTACAAAATTAGTTCTTTAAAGATCCAAATATTATTTTCGACATAGAGCCTTACAAAGAACTAATCATGAAATAACTTTCACATATGTAATATCTTAAAAACGAAATTTGATGAGAATGAAAATATCATGTTATAAATTGAATACATCTACACTATTAACTTAATAACCTCTAGCCTTCATTACAGCTTTAGCCCTCAAAGCTTCCAAGGCAGCCATGTATTCCTCCAATTCTTTACTCCCCATTTCATCAACATCCCTATTCCACCAAAAGACATTTATGCCCTCCCACTCCCCACCCTTGTTCTCCTCCTCCTCCTCTATGCCCTCCACCAGCTTCTCTTTCTCCTCCTCCAGTGCCTCTATCTCCCGCCCCACCGCCTCGAGATACTGAGGAGGAGGAGGGGGACTGGGCCCCGCTTCGGCGGTTCGCTCCTCGAACCGCCGGAGCACGGCGCCCACGCTGGGGTAGCCGCACGTGAACGCCTTCCCCTTGCCGGAAAAGAAGACGACGACGACTTGGGCCCCGCAGATGACGGAGAGCTCGGCCGCCTTCTTGTAGATTCCCTCGCGGCGTTTGGAGAATGTGACCTGGCGTTGCGCGCGGTCGACGATCTTCGTGATGGCTATCTTCTGCCGCCCTCTCGTTTGTTTCTTGGTCGGGAATTTCTTCTCTTCGGACATTTTTAGATCAGTATCAAACCCTAACTATCACTACGTACAAAAAGAAGCTTTCCTTATTAGGTAGAGCAATTATATACTGTAATATAATCGGAGCATTGATTACCTTTGATCTGCGTGATTCCGTTTTTAGAAAATCAATGGGTGAAGATATTAATTAATTAATCTTGTGGTAATTACCAAAAAACAAGAGATTCCTAAAATTGTACTACTCATTACCTATATCTAATTTCGGGTAAAATAGAAAAAAAAACTAGTTAGTCAATCAAATTTGATTGTTCTCATGGAAAGGAAAAGGATAGAAATAGCACTTAAACAGGTCTAAAAAGATACAAATAGCTGTGGAGCGTCTAGATTAAACTTAACAACAACACCCAGTATAATCCCACGAAAACAGGGTCTAGGAGGGTGGGTGTAGGCATATCTTGCACCTATTTAAAGTAGAGAAAATGTTTCTAAGAGACCTCCAACTAAGACAAAGCATAAGGCACAGAGCACAAAATAAAGAGTAGAAACGATAGAACACGAGAGACAAAACAAGGGGAAAAAACAAAGTCGCGGAACAAGAAAAGTACACAAAAGTAAGAGCAAAAGCCTTCTATCTTACACTAAAAGAGCTAGAGAGATTAGCATAGAGTCCCAAAAGCTACCCAACTACCCTCGTCCTAGATCTCCAGACACTCCTATCGAAGATTAACTTATAGGAGTAAAAAATTGTTGAAGTCTCTATTTTACCCCTACACATATAGAACACAACAACACACTACCAAACTCGCCATCTCACTACCACCAATGCCATAGTGCTGCCACCGATGCCACATTACCAAACTGTCACCATCATCCTCTCACTTCCACCACTACCATTGTCTTCACGACACTACCGCACTGCCAACACCACTATCACACTCCCACTGTAAGAAGAAACTAGAAGGAGTTGGAAAAATTGCAAGGCGTTGAAAAATGTCGGAAGAATTTAAGTATTACAAAATCACTCGATTAAATAATCATCCAAATAAATATTTAAGGAACAGATTTTTAGATAAAAAAGAATTCATAATTGCCCGTGTTTGAAGTAATATGTTTTACACCTAGATGTATAATTTTATTTTATATTAATCATATATAAATACCTTTTTTGAGTCGTTGTTGGAAGAAACTGGAAGGATTTAGAAGAAACTAGGAGTTAGAAGAAACCAGAAGAAGTTGGAAGTTAATTTTTCCAACTCAAAAGAACGAGACCTACAACCCTCTCCACCACACTACAACGAGTATCCCCACTATCATCTTTGTAACACATCTACGTGGCTACATCTTGGTCCTATCAAAGCACTCAATTGTTTGAGCCCTTGGACCGAAAGTCACGCTTCGCTGCCGTTCACATGCGAGGATTCCCAAGGATCATGAGTTGGTTGTATGTATCTTCCTAAGTTGTATGTTCCATACCACGCAGATTAGAAAGATATATCTCTCCACTGGCTACACGTATATCTTACCAAGTTGTGTATGTGTTTCGTACCACACAAATTAGAAAGATATATGTCTCCGACCACACTTTGCTCTGATACCAAAATATAACCACCCGACCCGCATAACCCGAATAAATGGACTAACGGACTGAGTTGTCACTAGATTGACATCCAAACACAACAATTTTCAAGATAATTTAAAACATTTAATTCAAGACATTAATTAAAACATCCATGGGAGTAACTTAAAATTAAATGGTGCAAAAGCTTAAGTACTTAATTCAAAATACAATTTTGGTTTCTTGTCCGAAAAACATAATAAATTCAAACAGAAATATTTAATTAAATAAACTCCTCAGACATGCATCCATCCATCTCTTTATCCCTGCTTTCCTCCAAGATTGGTTCATTATTCGTCATTCTTGTTACTTACGCGTAGGCAGCGTAGCAAGTAAAACAAACTACACGCTCAGCATTTCATGCTAAGTAAGAGGTTCTAACAGTAGAAGTCACACATTGGATTATTTCAACATACATAATCTGATAATCATTCATAAAATTTCATGCACAAGTAGTATCACATAACAACGTTAGATAATATCAACAATATTATAACAAGTTACACTTCATATTACTTACCTTGTTTATTTGGCTGCATCAATTATCAACTCAACATCCTTATCTTTATGTAAGTTCATCTCTTACACCTGCTCATAACCTATTTTAGGCTATGGCTATTATAGTAACAGACACAGAAACAACACAATACTACACAACTTTACCAACAAAGGAGTTCTCTGCTGGGTGGGCGGTACCTCCGTCCCCTTCCGAACAACAGATGTAGATCCAGTATGTACGTTTTAACCCACGGCCATCAGATATCAGATCCGTAAGACTGATTCTATCAATTGACATATATACTTACAACCACACTAGGGTAGTCCTAGAGTTCCTCTAGCTAGTCTAATCATTTATTTACAACAATTTCTCATTTTCAGATTTATTCCAACAACAATTTAATTCACTATATTTGTTCAAGGCATATCCATACTACATTTAAGATCTAATAGGAAGATAATAACAATTAAATTATTATCATATAATACAAATAGTGACCTTGTGTCAGGGTAAGCACCTTCAACTTACCGTCATGCAGCACCTAAGGTCTCAGAATCAATCCGGGACTCGAACCAAAACAAACAAATAAGGAAAGATTCAGTTACTGTTTTGTACGATACCTTGATACTGTTTCACGATACCTTGGTACCGTCTGGTCTATAATTTGTAGGTGAAATTCTTCTGTGGCGGTAGCCGGCTAACGTTGGACGGTACCGTGCTACCGTCCGTCGTTGCAAAACGCAGAGAGAAATTTGGCAACCGAAAAAGCAACCATCCGAGAGTCGACTCAACAAGGACGAAATGGCCAACTATCCTCGTTCAAAACAAAGCGCAAACTCTAGACCAAACTCTTACTAACATATAACATTTGTAGAGATTATTAACACCCAAAATCACATATAGAGATTAGAATAGTAAACATACATGGCCTTCATCGATCAACCAATTTTAATAACATCATATTTTAATAAATCATAATCCAACGATCATAATCAAATAAACCACAAAACGAATTTAAAAAATTGATTATGTATATGAGTTAACACTATCTATGAATTCTATGCTAGAACAAACTCACAAACTCACCTCGATTATTTGACGAATTAACGACTCAAACAAGCCAAACAGCGGACAAGAAGAACGGCGGTGGTCAGCAGTGTCACGGTAGCAGCGAGGAGCGGCGGCGGTGTGCACAGCACCACGTCGAACTCCTTTTTTTTCGGCTCTGTTCCTTCTCTGTGTGTATTTCTCCAATTTCTTCCGTGTGTACCCCCCGAATACTCCGTAACTCGTTTGCTTTATAAAGTAGGGGAAGGAGTTATAAAATGAGAAGAACCAAAGGAGTATAACTAGTTTTTTTAAAAAGATTTTTTCTGTACAAAAAAGAGAGTTATTAGTTTGGGGAAAAAAAAGAAATTTGGAGACCGTTTTATTTTTCAACAATGTTTCTGAAGCGCCACAAAAAAAATACAATTAGTTCGGGACGAAAGGAATACTTCATTAGCCTATCGATCGGTTACTCCATTTAATTTTACATCGTTTAATTAAACACGACACTTAAATAAAGTAAAATTATATATCTTTTTTAGTACAGTAAAATTATATACAGAGTAACTAATACTTTGTATTTATGTAAAGAAGAAAAAATAATATGAACCACAATATTTTTTAGACTATGACACTGTGTTATGGGCCATGGGCGGGGGGCTTCACCGCCCTCCGGCACGCCCCTCTTCCATAACAGCCATATGTGACCAGGGCGTTGCCCCTCACGCACTGACGGCCCTCGGGGCCCCCTATTTTTTAATTTAATTGAAACGAATCAAAATTTAACATATATTCACACATCATCACATCTCTTCACACTCACCATAACACTCATTTATCATCACNCCCCCCCATAACACATAGCCATATAAAAACAGAAAGTAATTTGAAATGAATGAAAAAGAAAAAGTAATTAATGAGTTGCAATAAGAACACTAGAGAGACTAGAGTGCTAATAGGCAAGGCCGTTATCCCAGGAATCACAAAAAAAATGTTTACACTTTTTCAGAAGTTTTTATTTTCTTTCAATTCTTGTAGGATTGATTGTGTCAGTAAATATTGTTGGGCTTGCCATTCCCAAACTCAACACAAATTAGAATATGACGAGAACAACAAATACAGATTTTCAAGTTGTGTTAGAAGTAAGAACTGTACTTATTCTTTATGTATGGCAACGCAATTTTTATACAAACCAAGAAAAAAGTACAAGATTTTCCTTGTCAAATTTCAGCATTTGATGTGTTTTGGCATAAAAAGAATAAATACAACTTAGCATCAAAATCAGTGTCCGACCTGAGAAGTGAGAAAAGAGGTTCTGGCGATGGCAGATCACATGTCAGCAACAGACCATAGATATGCCTCTCTTTCGGTTGCTTGTTTCTCGCTCGAGCGTTTGAACATTTGTTTCTCATAGCCTACGAACGTAGCAAAACATAGTATTATCGTTACTAATCCCAAAGTTCAATAAATATATGTATTTTTAAAAAATGCAGAAGCAAAAAAAAAAAAGGCAAGCCAAGTGAGGAGTGTACCGTTACTGCGGTCAACGCCATCCCAGTGCCGCCCTGGTTTGATACCATACCGATTGGGTGCAGCTTCCAACCCTCTTCGAATCCAGCTGTGAGGGGGGATTTCCTGAGGGATTATGAAACCAGATTCTTTCATTTTATCATCTGACCCTAGGTCAGGTAGGAGAAGAGCTTGATCCGCTTGTTTCTTCTTCACCAAATGCGCCATGGGATCACCCCACCTCAATCTCTCCTTGAGCATATTGTCAAGGTCAGGATCATCTCTGGAAAGTAAAAGAATAAAAGCACAATGCTTATTTAGAATCCCCTTAAAATGGGTTATAGTACAAAGTGAAATATCACAAGAAAATCAGCAATCACTAGTTTGAAAACCTTACCTGCTCCGGGCAAATGGCTTATTCTTCTCGTTCTCTAATTCCTGAAGCCTAGCCTCCATCTCACGCTTCTGAGCCAGACCCTTACCCCATTCCAGCTTTATTTCCTGATGCAAAGATGCAATAAATCATTTCATGAGTACAAACCACGGATGACAAGTAATGAAATTTAGTTTTTGGTATAAAAGAAGCCTCCATTCATGCAGAAGTGCAAAATCAATTCTGCATGCAAACCAACAAAAAGCAATCATCAATCTCTTGGCCAATAATCAACAATGTGTTTCTTTAATGCAATTTAATTTTAACATAATCAACAATCCGGGTTTAGAATATCTACCAATAGTATAATAAGGTATGATATTTAAGAGATAATACTTGTACCAACTCAGGTTAGGTTGCAAAAAATCCAAATGGTAATGTGAACATTAACGATTACTGTGATGTTGTTTTAACATTTCTAGTTACTATGAGTATAATATAATCAGACATGACACAGCAAACCTAGTTGATCTGCTCCAGACCACATTATATGTTGCAGGAGTGTCAACCTTTATCCTGTTGCTTTCAAATATTTTTTTTGCTCTAATGATTTGTATGACCTACTGATAACTCAGTGAATTAGTTCAGGAAATGGAACCAATGGCCTCATAGATGCGTTCGTCAGGATTGAATGATTGATTACAAGAGTGACAGATCTAGATAGGGTTAGCTCCTTTCCAAGTAAAATATATGGTTTGAATCTCATCCTCCAGAGTTATAAGAATAAAACAAATTGAGCTATAGTATCAAGTATTAATGTTGTCCATGTGTGCTATATAATGCAGTGCTATGATTTTAAAGTGCATTTGTTCAAAATGACATTATGGCAGTACCTTAGGCTTCTCCTCCTCTTTCTTCTTATGAGACTTCAAGAACTCCTCCTTAGATACTCGCTCCCCTGCAGCATTAACAGTGAGGTTACAACACATTAGCATTTATCAAGTGATATTAACTTGTTTCCATTCTTTTTATATGCTGACCTGTTACTTTATCACGATATACTCCTTCTGCACCCTTGCCACTAACTGAAGGATCCAATTCCTTAATCCTATAAGAACAGAAAACACATTTACTGCCGACTCATTTGGAAATCCAATCGCCAAAAGAGGTCCACACTACAACCTCCACAGTTTGTGAATCTATATTTGTCTTGACATCCAAGTTCATGCATGACAGCATGAGGTAGAAAAATAATACTAGTAACAAATAAAGAAGTAAATACTGAAGGGCAAAAAGTTACCTCAACCACTCCTCTTTCTTTGTTTTAGCAATTTCATCTTTGACATCCTTGGCAGAAACCAGACCAGTCTTTGGCCTCTGTTTTGCTGCTGGCGATTGAGCTCGTATCTTCCTTGGTGGAGATAAGTCTATATCAGATGTGTTGTCATCATTTACAGAGAACTGATTTTTTCTTTGTTCCTGCAGTGGTGGTGACACATCACCATGAACTTTCCTGAAAGATGAACGGCTTCTATTGCTGTGTTTGCGAGGAGGTGACAAATCAGCACATTCCCTCCCAGAATGCATGAGATCACGTTCTGGTGAAGACGTACCATATCGAGCACTTCTTCTACGAGGAGGTGAAACATCACCACAAGTGTTGCTTGAAGGTGTATCACTCCTAGCATTGCGTTTGCGAGGAGGTGATAAGTCTTCACCCTGCCTCCTAGATTGCATGGATTTGGGTTCTGGAGAAGGTGTATCGTTTCGGGCTCTTCTTTTACGGGTTGGGGACAGATCATTTGCAGGGAACTGACTTTTTCTTTGTGTCTGCAGTGGTGGTGGTGACACATCACCATGAACTTTCCTGAAAGATGAACGACTTCTGGTGCTGTCTTTGCGAGGAGGTGACAAGTCAGCATCTTCCCTCTCAGAATGCATGAGATCACGCTCTGGTGAAGGCGTATCATATCGGGCACTTCTTCTGCGAGGAGGTGAAATATCACCATAAGCGTTGCTTGAAGGCGTATCACTCCTAGCAGTGTGTTTGCGAGGAGGTGATAAGTCTTCATCCTGCCTCCTAGATTGCATGGAATTTCGTCCTGGAGAAGGTGTATCGTTCCGGGCCCTTCTTTTACGGGGTGGGGACAGATCAACATCTACTGCTCTGGATGGATTAAGTTTCAGTTCAGGAGAAGGTGAATCATTGTGACAAATCCCTTTGCGAGGAGGTGACAAATCCAAATTTTGGTCATCAGAATTCAAGTTATTCTTTGGAGCGTCTGAAACAGAAACCCAACCACTTCCATCCTCTGAAATGGCACCAAATGGTCGTTTGGCTCTAAGCTGCTCCAGTCTCTTCATGCGCTTGACTTCAATATCTTCATTAATCATAGGCGTCTCATCATCTGTATCAAAACACAATCAGTAAAGTGAAACCGTTAATCTAAATTAAATAAACGCATAATACATTACATTACATAATCAAAGTAGAATAAAAATTGCCGGATTACCAGCTGAGTCATCCTCTTCCTCGTCAACGTTAACTGGTTTTTCCCAGACAGGATCTTCATCAACAATGAGAACACCTGTGGTGTTAGATTTGGCTTTCTTCTTCTTCTTCTTTTTCTTCTCCTCTTCATAACCACTATCATATTTTCTTAGATAATCTTTCAGTGAAGATGTGTTAGATGATGGTGCTACCATGCTACCTTAATAACAACTCCCTGCATCATAATATATCATTGAAAAGTAACTAGATCAAAAAAACTATAGAGGAGTGTATATAGCAGTATTTGTTAGCTACTAGTATGATTTTGTCCACAACAGAAAATGTATCCAGAATATGTCTGCATTTTGAAACTTGAGTATGTTGAGGATTACAACCTAGCACTATTTCATTCTTGTTGAGTAATTGTGATGTTCGGACTTTGAAGGGTAGCGGGCAGAGGCGGATCCAGCAATCTCGAACCATGGGGTCCCGGCTCTTTAGTTCCGATTTATTTTATATTTATTCATACTCTATATAAATCAACTAAAAAATCTACTGTTTGAACAAACACTCATGATATAGTTCTCAAACTGATTGTTCAAAGTCATAAATTCTACATTATAATTTTTTTAAAGCTAAAATTCAGTCATCTCAGTAATTATCTCTTGTCAAAGGTCTCAAATGAGGATGAAAGATTTAGACATATCCCTCTTTTCCGCACTTTTAAAATTAAAATAAATTGTAAACAAGCTGATCAGCTAATCTTACCTACTTCTAATAAAAAGTTACATTTGTGGTTATGTTAATCCGTAGTCTCTACTCTCTAGTATGGAAAAATGCAGCGGGTGAAGAGCACTCAATTACTAATTTCATAAGGAAAACCTATAGAAGAACACGAAGTTTGTCTTGTGCACTCCATTAAGCTCTGAGTGACTCAGTCACAGTGTTTAGACGAGGTACTACACACTAGTCATAACTTCACAAGTCCAGATAATTACAGTATTTAAATACCCAGAAAAAAAAACAGAAAACAAAATGATATATTAACCAAAAAATTCAAATAAATTTTTGAATAAGGTGATCAACTGGGTCAGTTCGCATATATTGTACCTACGATTCATAACTTCCCTTAATTAAAAAATAAATATAATTAAACCAAAAAAAATTGCTAGAATAAACACTGTCCTCAGTCAGCCAGGAATATCGATTAAATGGCAACCGCTTGACCTAAAATCATCACCAACCTCAATTGAATTCATTTTTTTCAAATCCACACGCTCTTTTCAACTCAATGACCTCATCATTGTCCTCGATTAGCCTATCGCATTGTTTTCAATTAACCTAAGATCAACTGATGAGCAGAGCAAATTACCTTAGAGAATGGATTAACCGGTTGAATGCGAGCACACCCGGTTGCGGCGGTCGGAAGAAGTGGCTGGTAGCGGAAGGAGGCGGGCCGCGGCACGGCGAACGGCGCAGCTAGGGTTCGGAGTTCCTGCCGTTGGTCCTCTTTCCGATTGGGTTTCTGGGTAGTCGTCTAGACGAGAAGGAAAAATAAAATATGCATATAATTGATGCTTCAAGAGTTCAAGTTAGTTGCAATCGGATTGGATAACTGAACCACCCAGATGATGCTTCAAGAGTTTGGATAAGTAAGGCATATTCCGTTCAACTTATTTTTTTTATTTTTTATTATTGTTGAAATCGGATCAGATGAAACCAGATTAGATCAGATCAAATCCAATCAGATCAGATCTAATCTGATCATATCAGATCTAATCAAGAATTATTATTATTGTTGTGAATCACTTTCATTATATGTGATGGGGTTGGGTTTCTTAGAGAGAAGGGGGAGTTTCCATCTGCGGCGGCGCAATACTGATCGCTTCGATCATGATGAATATCAGAATACTTTCCAACGTAATGGATGGAATCATACGAGAGGGAGGCAAAATTACAAGCCCAGTTGGGGAGACGATTGGAAGAAGTCCAGATCTGGATGGAGAGCAAGAAGTTGGGTTTGCACAAACCCATCTCGATATCAAGGGCCCTATAAAAGGGATTCGGATGTTTCAATTTCGATTGAAAGCAAAGTCTTTGAATTCAATGTCTCAAGTAACCTAATAATTTCTGAATCCTAGAATGGAAAAAGTCATTTTCTTTCCTTAAGTCACCCACCAATAGCAAGGGAGTGTAGGGTGATTTCACGTGAACTTTTCGTGCAGTTTTTTTAGATGTAATTTTTATTTTTTATTTCTTTACCAATATGTAAATAAAATGAATTGAAAAAACTCGATATTTTGCTTCGGTAATAGAAATGTGACAAATAATTTGGGACGGAGGGTGTACTACAACTTAGCTTGTAGACAAATCATTAAGGGGCTGTTTGTTTCAGCCTCTTAATGGTTCAGATGTCTGAATGGTTCAGCACTTAATGGTTCAGACTGTTTGTTTCAGCCTCTTAATGGTTCAGATGTCTGAATGGTTAAGAGATTTGCCTCTGAATAGTTAATTATTATACAGAGTCTGAATGGTTAAGACCTCTTATCTGAATTGATCATACATTTGCCTCTGAATAGTTAAGCAATATACTAGCTCTTAATGGTTCAGACCTCTTACTGGTTCAGCACTTACCTATTCAGAAGTTGTCAAACAACCCCTAAGTCGGCAAATAAATCAGAGTCCAATGCACTAAAGAGTAAAGACTAGAGGACCAATGACATGGAACAATTTATTGGTCTCGTGATCATCCTCTTGTTTTATCTTTTCATTCATTCTTTAAAGCAAGCAGTCTTGTGAACCGATGGTTGCCCTTTTTGCACTTGTTTTCGCTGGTGGATCATTGATGTCAGTCAGTGTTGGCTAACAACCACCCGTGACCCTCTACCTATATATTGCTCTCTCTCTCTCATCATTATTCTCTTGTACTTACCACATTCAACCATCCTAACTTGTATTCTGAAAAAATGGACCGACATTCATTTTAATAGTACGCACTGTCAAAAAATATTAGTTCAATTAAAAAAAATTATACTGATATTTTTGTCAATGTAAATCGTTACAAAAGCATCACACTAGCCTGAATTAATTTTTTTGAGGACCTAGCACCCTTTGTTTAAAAATGGAGGCAAAGGTAGTCTCAATATTTTTGTTAATTTCATAAAAAAATATTAAACTAACAAATACTTCCCCTCCATAAAAGAATTTTCTAGTTTGACTTTCTCAATCAAACTTTTTTTAACATTTGATTTTGTATGACAGAGAAGATGTATTAAATTATCATATAAATTTTACATATTGTGATCCAAATGTTTGTGGGTCTAGAACTTTCCTGTTTTGCTATCTCCTTTTTTTGTTTCTATAGTTGCTTGCAAAAATTAAAACTAATACAGAGTACATTACTTTGTTGTGAATTGATTTTTGAGACTTCAATAATCCAAATTATGTCTCGTGATTAAGAATGTCTCGTTGACATTCCATTCCAAACACTTAGGCTGTAATTGCCGTCATTAAATTGTTTTTACCTTATCTGATAATTAAAAAAATCAGCTTTTAGCTTTAAGCAAATAACTATCTAGCATGACTTATATATATACTCTTGTGTTATTTTTCTTTAAAGTGTAGAATTCTAATAGTAACCACTTTCTTATAAAATACTAACAGGAACCACTTTTTCTGTATAAAATTTTAACAAGAACTACTCCCCCGTCCATATTTATAGGACTTGCTTTGGTTTACGATGTTTGATTTAAATTATTTTCAAATCATTTTATATGACAAATGGTATAGAGTTAAAAAATTAGAATTATATATTAAAATACGACATCAAAAGATCTACAAAATTAGTGGTGATAATAGTATTTTATTTTATCAAATTGATAACGAAAATAGAGAAAGAAAATGAATGAAGTTTGACCATATGAATAATGATCGAATATGCAGTACTATAAATTGAGACTGAGGAATTACTTTCTTAAATACACTCAAGTACAAAATTAAAAGAAAACTTAAATTAAGAAAGAAAATGTCACATGCAGCATCTTCTGTTGCGGTTTCAATAATAAGGCCAAAATTTGTGCTTAAAAAATGGCACACACATTACAAAAATTTTCCACCAAACATAGCTATATAATATGCTACTATATACACATATATTGTCTATATATAAATGATGATATATGTCTATATACACATAAATACTAGCAAAGTAAGTGAAGCTATTGCCATATATATACATATTTCCAATACAAACACCCCCTACCCACCCAGAAACAGCAAGCTAAGCTAAGTCCAACCTCTCTTTCCTCTCCTTCCTTCTTTTGTCATTGTGGAGTAATAATTATATATAACAACACCAACAATATTACAATGCCACAACCAAGACTCAGGCGGGGCATTATGGTCTTTTCGCCGGCAGTGCTCTTCTTCTTCCTCTTTTTCTTCGTCCTCCTCGCAAAGGAAACGGAAAGCAAGAAAGGCGGCGGGGGAGGAGATGGAGGGAGAGTGCTCGGCGTGAACCTGACCCAAGTAGAGCACTCAGAACAGATGTTCATGAAATGGGTGCTCTTCGTGGGCAGCCTGAAGCACTCTCTCTTCAAGGCCGCCGCCATGAACAGGCTCTTCCCAGCCATTGTCCTCACGGTGGACAACAACCTTGCCCGTGGCGGCGGCGGCGACTTCGCGTCCATTCAGGAGGCCGTCGACTCCCTCCCCTTCATTAATTTTCTCCGCGTCGTCATCAATGTCCATGCAGGCGTTTATACGTGAGTATTTTTAAGTAATTCTACGACCTTCTTATTATAATATTTCTCATATCCTACTCGTATCAACTATCGTCATTTATCATTGGTCAACCGCCTAGAGTCTTCCTTTCCAAAATCCAAACGGGAAATGCTTTTAGGGACGGAGGACGTACATCTTATTTTATGCAGTATTTCTCTTAAATTTTTGGTATTTATATATTGGGGACACGTGAAATGAGATTGAAAATAGAGTATGTAATAAATAAATTCAGGGAGAAAGTGACAATACCACCAACAAAATCATTTATCACAATTCAAGGGGCCGGGGCGGAGTGTACGGTGGTGCAGTGGGGTGACACGGCCCAAACAATTGGCCCAAATGGGAGGCCTCTTGGTACCTATGGCTCTGCAACTTTTGCCGTTAACTCTCCCTTCTTCATAGCCAAAAACATCACTTTCAAGGTATATATGTGTCTGTTTTGTCATTAATTAACTAATAAATCTCATTTTCTTTGTCTCATAATTATCCTTTAACTAAACTTTTTGGATTATTCCAAACTTTTCTAGCTACTTTATATTTTTATGTGTTTGTAGAATACGACGCCGGTGCCGCCGCCGGGAGCAATAGGGAAGCAGGCGGTGGCGTTTAGGATATCGGCGGACACGGCGGCGTTCGTGGGGTGCAGATTTTTGGGGGCGCAGGACACGCTGTATGACCACATTGGGAGGCATTACTACAAAGATTGTTATATTGAAGGCTCCGTTGACTTCATTTTTGGGAATGGCCTTTCTCTCTTTGAGGTACATTATTATTCCTCTTCTTGCTTTTTTTTCTTTCTTTCTTCTTATTTAAAATCACTTCTATCCTTCAATAAAAAAGCTTTTGGAACACTAATATTTTTATGTGAAATTTGCATTGAATATGACTAAAACATAAGTCATTTCCAATGTAGGACTTAAATTTTTTTATTCCCTAAATAGAACTTAATAATGATTAGTGAGAAGAATAATGTCCAAGTAATTCTAGACATTTAGTTGAATAATTACTAATAGATAATGACCAATGGTCCTACATTGGGAATTAAAAAACATATGGTCCTATATTGAGAAAAAGAAAACCCCCTAAATAAGAGTAAAACATGGATCATATTCCAAAATAGTATTTCAAACTTAAACCCCCTAAATAGGAGTTAAATTAGGAAAATATAAAATCAAACCACACCCCCAATTCTCAATCTGACACTATGCTCAACGACAACTCTCTTCTTCATTGCCAACCCCCAAAAGAGGGAGACGATTCTTCTTCTTCTACACCTGTACAAACCCCTCGTCTTTAGTGTCAAAATTTTCACCTATCTACACCACAATTATTTGGCAAGTAACTTGCACCTAGCACGCCCAAGATGGGTTTATTATAAAAGGTTGTGCCCCAAATTGATTAGTATCATTGAAGTCGAAGAAAATGAGCTATAATGACAATGGAAGAAGAAGGGCCGGCGATAAGATAGATCTGGGAACCACCTACTCTTGTGTCGCCAACCAATCACACCATCACCGCCGCCGCCATGCACCCCTACCCATCTTAGACTTTCCGTCGCTTGCTCAACGCCGATCTCCCTTTTGCTGCCCACCCCTTCTTCAATAGATTAGAATCGTTGCTGCCGCCGCCCACCGTGACCTTATTGCAACGCCATCGCTGCCGCCATGCACCCCACCCTCTCAGACTCATCGCCGCACTCGTGTCACGCTGCCCTCCTCCATCTCTCTTCCTCAAAGCATGATTTTAAATGTAAGTTTTTTTTCTTGATCTTTAATTAATTGAATTCTGTTTCCTTCGAAATTCTCGTCGGCATTCGTGGAGGGCATTGATTTGGCATTATGTCATTGTTTAACATTGTGACATTATATATGAGCACACGTGGCATTATACATGGGCATCTATGGTATTATATATTGTCGTATGTGACATTATGTGGTGCCATGTTTGCCATTATGTCTTTCTTTGATATTGTATTGACTGTTAATGTGGCACTGTGGCGATGATGGTGCAAATTGTGGTGATAGTGTCGTTGATAATGGTATACAACGATGATGTCGTCGGTAGTGACGATGAAAAATCAAAGGCGTCAATGGTAAGTATTGATAGCAGCGGTGCGGTGGGGCGGAGCAGAAGACAGTGGTGGTGGAGATTCAAGTGATAGTGGTGAAAAATCAAAGGCGTCAATGGTAAGTATTGAGAAAGTCATTATGTTTTAGTCCTATTTAAGTAAATTACTCTATTTCTATTATACTCTCTCCGTCTCTCTAAGATGTTCTCATTTTGACTTTTGGTCGTTTTTAAGGAGAGTTGTAAAAAGGTGAAAGTTTACCATAATACCTTTAATGAAAATGGGTGAAGTGTATTAAATGAGATGGAAGAGGTGTAATAAATAAAGTAAGTGGGGGTAGTTGTGGTATTTTAATTGTTAAAAAATGAAATGAGAAGATCTATTGTGACAAAGAAAAAGGGCTATTAGGAAGATCTATGAGGATGGAGGGAGTAATATACTTAAACTCCTTCCCTTTTTTTCTTGTCCCACTAACTCCTTCCGTTATCTATTAAAAAATTACTTTTACCTCTTACTTTTTCATATCTTACCTATCACATCATACATTTTTATTAATAATCTATCCATCACATCTTATTTTTACTCATCACATCAAGGATATTTTTGGAAAGTCAACACTAAAATATCTCTCTTCATTTTCCAAAAAATTCAATAAGGGAACGACTTTAAGTGATAGAATGACTATAATATTCATTCATATATTTTCAACCATTAAGGCTGTGTTTGGTTGGAGGAAGGGGAGTCCTAAAATTTTCTTCTCCATCATTATGCACATCGTCAAAGTTTAATATTTTTCTTTATCTATTTTCATTAGTTCTTTGATTAAATATTATAGTCATGTCATCTCTTCTATTGTAAAACTTTTTATGTAGTTTTAAGTATATAATTTTTATTTTTAAATTTTGCACTTATAATCAAATAAATTGAATTAAAAATAATTTCATTAGAACCTCATAAACCAAATAGGAGAGAAATTTTAAGACAGATGGAGTAATTAGATTGAAAAACAAGATTATTTATGTTTTTTTAGGTCAAGAGTACTTCTATGGTTCACCTTGGGAGTATTATTCTTGTGGACTTTAATTTCTCACTTAAAAAACTATTTTTTTTAATTAAAAAACGAATGCTTATAATGGACCTTCATAGTTCATATATGCTAAATAAGTATTGAAATAAAAAATTTCAAAATTAAAAAAAATCTATGTGAGAAGTTTGATGTGGACTCTTTCTATTAAACAACAAATAGATAGTCACCCGTGGGCACGGACCAGATTCCAGACAAACACTTTAATTATTCGATGAGATCTAGCTATCTTTTGACTTTGCATATAATAATAATAGGGAGAAATAATAATAATAATAATAATAATAATAATAATAATAATAATAATAATAATAATAATGTGATGATAAAAATAACACCCTATGTCCCCAAATAAAACCTTCTGAATTTGACGTGTTTTTGTGAAACTGTACACTTTGAGCATCATTAAATATTTTTAAAAAATTGTTAGACAAGTTTTTTACGTCCCTAAAAATCATTCTTATTTCGACTTTTATGTGATAAAGAGGAAGTAATAATATTAACTTTGTTTGTGGTGGTGGCGGCGGTGTTGACAAAAAAAAATGAGTGCAGAGTAGTCATGTACATGCAATAGCACGAGTGACAGGAGCATTGACAGCACAAGGGAGAGCAAGCCTGCTGGAGGACACTGGGTTTTCATTTGTGAACTGTAAGGTCACTGGGTCTGGGGCATTGTACCTTGGAAGGGCATGGGGTCCCTTTTCTAGGGTTGTCTTTGCCTACACTTACATGGACAACATCATCATCCCCAAAGGTTGGCACAATTGGGGTGACCCTAACCGTGAAATGTATGTATGCCATCACCTTCTCCATCTTCATCGTCCCTCATCATCATCTCTTTTTAGTTCAATAATTAAGTACTCTCTATCTCTTAGCCTCTTCTCCCTAGCTCCTCTTTGAATGGACTTAATTACAAAAATATGAATACATATTTGCTCCCTATATGATTTAAAGTTTATATTAGAACATGAACTAATAATACTATAAGAGTCACCCGATGTTGTAAAATGATAAAGTATCTCATATCAGAAATTGAAGATAAAAGTAATGTCATACTACCTCCGTCCCAAAAAGTCTTTCTTGTTTCATTTTTTGCGCATCCCATAAAACACTTCTACCGACATCTAAAATGCCTAAAATTTACAATATTTCTTCTTTATTGTGGGTAGAAGTTATTTTGAAAGTTTTTTTGTCATTCAAGGCGGGATAGAAGTGTTTTTTTGGGATGCGCAAAAAATGAAACAGGAAAGACTTTTTGGGACGAAGGGAGTATAAGTTTTCTTGAGTGAACAAAGTAATTAATTGGATTCAATCTTTTAATGTGATTCAACTCGGATATTTTATGATCCAATCTAGTGACTCTTACCTTATTAATTCTATCATAACTCATTCTCCTAATATACTAAAGCTTTGGAAATAAAGATCAAGTTGCACATACATCACTTTAATTTGTACACCAAAAAATAAACACAAATGCATATGTCACTACATCGTACAAACATAAATACTTGCATTTATTTTTTGTATCGTTAAGGGTTGTGCACTGTGCTAGAGGGACATTGGCCAAAATGCATAATGACACCATTTTGAGTTCAAGCAATACACAAACATAAATAGACACTAAGTAGGTGTTTCTTTGTGATTATAAACTCGTCAAAATTGCTTATAAGCAGCTTTTAACTTTTAAGTCAGATGATAACATGTTTCTGTCTGCTTATAAGCAGACTTATAAGCTATTTATAAGCTAGAAAAAATAAGTAGATCTTAGCTACTCCCTCCGTCCCGTTTTAAATCGCCCGTTTTGACTTTTGGGCATATTTAAGGAAAATTAAAAATAGAGTTGATTTTTCGAAATTGTCAATACTTTTTAGGAGGGATGATGATGAATGAGAATATAATGTGGAAAAGATTGACTTATTTTAGAAGTAGTTTAGCTATTTTATTTTTAAAAGTTTACGAAAACAACTAACAGACAACTTATTTTGGGACGGAGAAAAAAGGCAAACAGACAATTTAAAATGGGATGGAGGTAGTACTTTTTAAGCTAGTTTTTTCGTTTCTCTCTGATTTGATTTTTTACAAGACTGTCCCTCACCATTCATGAATGTTTCTAAGTGACTTACCTATCATTTAAGTCATTTTACTTCCATGAAAGAATATTTAACTTATAAACAGCTTATAAGTTAAAAACTGCTTATCAGTAAATAAGCCAATGAACATTAGTACAGAGAAACATCTCCAAAGTGTCTACAAATGCACAGGACATATGCATATTGTGTGTATGTACCTATGTGATGTTTGAGTTCAAAATGGTGTCACCATTTTGATACATGTACACTAGCATTTTAATGTGTATCTTTAATGTGCTATGTGATGTACAGCTAGTGTTACTCCTATATGTGCAGAGTGATCCATAGTTGTTTTGGCATTATTATGGTGTGATGATGTGTGTGTGTGTGAGAATAACAAGATTGCATGTGTAGTGTGACACGTCACATAACCAGCTAGCCACTTCGGTCGTGCAGTCACGGACGTTGAAAAATTACCACTCATTATTGTCCTTAAAAAAAAAAACTTTTGCATTAGAACCGTTCATTCTCACATTTCAGTAATTACTATCTAGGAATAATACTTTTGAAGCGTAAATAAATAAAGAAAAATATTCGTAAGTGAAATTTGCACTGAATAGGACTAAAACATAAGTCATTTCCCAATGTAGGACTTAAAATTTTTTATTTCCTAAATAGGACTTAATAATGACCAGTAAGAAGAATAATGTCTAAGTGATGCTGGACATTTAGTTGAATAATGACTAATAGATAATGACCAATGTTCCTACATTGAGAAATAAAAACATATGGTCCTATATTGAGAAAGTCATTATCTTTTAGTCCTATTTAGGTAAATTATCGTAAATGAAGAAAATAGCCTGGAAGCGTGGGACGGTGCAAATTAAAGAGTCCAGTACCCAACTATATATCTGCATGCTACTCTTGATTGCTTTAATCATTACCTCTTTCCACATTACTCTAAAACCAAATCTGCTATAAAGTCCAATTTATCATGTGTAAGTTCTACTATTTGCTACTAATCTGCGACTAAAATCCAATTTATCTCATATCAATGACCGTCCGACCGGACCTGAGGGCTTCGGGGATGGGGCTCATCCTTTTTTCCTGAAACAAAATTTCCCTGTTTTTATTATCTCTCTATTTACTAAACCTTTTCGTTTCTATTTTTTTTCACCAAAATATTTCCGTGTTTTAATAGAAATTACTTTTAATCATACTAACTTTTATCCTACATATCATATACGGAGTAATATTTTTTTCACTAATATACGCCTAACACATCCTATATGTATATACCACATTAAGGGCAAAAATGGAAATTCAACTCTAAATAAGTCTTCCTTCCTTATCAAGCAATATGTACATGCATGCATGCAGGACGGTATTTTATGGGCAGTACAAGTGCAGTGGGCCAGGGTCAAATTATGCAGGAAGAGTTTCATGGTGTAGAGAGCTAACAGACGAGGAAGCTAAGCCTTTTATTTCACTTAGTTTCATTGATGGCTCTGAATGGCTCAGACTCTAATCCATCCATTTACTATACATACAACCACATTAAAATTTATTTACACGTACACACATTCCGCTGTGCCGGTGAAGACCGGACCGGGACCAAATCGTGATCCATCTCCGGCCTGCCCTTCTTGCTGACCATGCTCTGAATATGCCGATCGAGGGCTAGCTTTCCAATCAATGTGCTGATGGAGAAATCCGGGACATCGTCGCCGTCCTGCCCTTCTTGCTCAACTTGAGATGAATTGGCTGAAGTCGAGATCACTCTGCCGGTGGTGAGATCTCCAGCATGCCCTTGTTGCTAACCTTGCTCCGAAGAGGTGAGATCTACAGCAATCTCACCTTCCCCGTGCCTCGAAGCCTCCAAATAGCAGTTGAGATCTATAGGAATCTCGCTGATCATCGCAGTTTTTGCTTCCATTTCGATTTTTTTCCAATCGATACAAAATGTCTTAAACGTAATGTGAAGTGTGTGATAGTGTGTATTGTGATTTGAGAGTCGCACACTGCACATTACATTTCAGACATTTTGTATTAATTGACGAAAATAATCAATATGGAAGCAAAAACAGTGATGATCAGCAAGAATTCCTATAGATCTCAACTGCGGTTTGGAGGCTTCCAGGCACGGAGAAGGCGAGATTACTATAGATCTCACCTCAAGAAGGGCAGGCCGGATTTCTCCACCGGCACATTGATTGGAAAGCTTTTAGCCTGTTCAGAGCAAGTTCAACAAGAAGGGTAGGCCGGATACCAACACATTTAATTTATTTACACATACAATTGTAGGGGAAAAAACCACATCGTCATATAGAAATTTGTCAATAATAAACTTTTTCTTTGCATAGATTTTTACGATAGTGTACTCAATCAATCATGCATTGTTGTTTGACACAATGCTGTTCAATATAATGAATTCCATTCAAAAATGTTCCAAGTTTGGGTAATTAAACCAGGACGTCTATAGAAAAGAGAGAGAGCTCATAGCTAAATTAGCTATACCCTATAGGCCACGAGAAGGTATATGGTACATCCGGATGTACTTAGAAATAGGTATATGCCGGTAGTACTTATTCTGAAATAAAGTAGTACTCATTCTCGTACAAATATAAACATTCATTTCGAAATACGTAGTACTCATTCTTAAATAAGATAATACTCATTTTAAAATAAAGAAGTGCTCATTTTTACACATTTATCTAATACAATTATAATAAATAACGTAGTGTTTATTTTTAAAAAAACAATACTCGTTCTCAAATAAGAAAATACTCATTCTGAAATAAGGTATTGTTTAATTTTTTCACAATTTAAAAGTTCACTACCATTAGCTTCTTCATCCCTAACCTTTTCCTTTGATCTTCTTGGGGTTCATTCCAATCCCCAAATCTCTTCAGATCAACTTCTTCAGTCCCACCTAGAGTTTCCAGGCTCCACCACCATCGCCATCCCTCGTCGCCATTCTCCATTGTTTTTGCCTCCTCCCAATCGCGCCTCCCTTTGTCGTCGCCTCTCCTTCGCCGGCCTTCTTCGATCGTCACCCTCCTCTCCTCCTTCGCGAACTTCTTCGATTCTTCGCTCCTGCCGCTTATTTCCGCCGGCTGTACGGTTCTTTCCGTACAGCCGGCTGTACGATATAATTTGCGATATGCCACCATCAATTCCAAGGTTTAATTAGGAGGAATTTACTTACATATCACTAAAACATAGTAATTTTCCCTAAATAGTATTACATGTATTTTTTCTCAATGTAGCACTTTTAGTCATTATGAAATAGTCATTGTTCAAGTAAATGTTCGCCATCACTGGACATTATTAAGTGTTATTTAGTGAACAAAACAATATAAGTGCTACTCCCTCCGTCCCAAATTTGATTACAAATTGCGGGTTACGGAGTAAAATTTCCTACTTTATGAAATCATTTTATTTACAAATTGGTATATCAATAAGATATAAAAATTACATATTAAAAAATTACGTCAAAATTTCTACAAAATAAGAGGTGACAAGAATATTTTATTTTATCAAATACTTGATGAAATCGCGTAAACAAACAAAAGTTATCGAGAGGAGAGAAAAAAAAAAGATTGTAATCTATTTAGGGACGGAGTGAGTATTTAAAAAAATGACCTAAGTTTTAGTATTATTTAGTACAAATATTTCTTTAACTATTTTTGTATTCTTTACTTAGGAAACCGATATACTCTCCCCTCCAAAAATTTACTCCTGCCTTCTTTAAAAACTGAGAAAAATACTTCAATTTCCATACCAATATCGATTTTGAAAAATAATACTTGGACCCTGTTTGGGGAGTGCAGAACTATTTCTTCCACTGAATGGTAGATTGGGTTGTATATCACCCGAATTTGTCGGTTACCACAAGTCCGCAGTCGCCGCCCACCCAGGACTGACCATCCTCCATTGCGAGCCAACTTTGCCTATAGTTAAAAATCATGCTTTCAGAATTTTTAATGATTTCATTTGAAATTTAAAATTCATGCCATTTTTAAAAATGCCTGTTTGAGAATAACATTTTTTTATTAGTGTTAGCATTTTGGATAAAATATTAACAGTGCAGATTAATTTGAAAATGCTAACACTAAATGATGCTCGTTGATAACCTCTTCAAAACGCTAATGCAAGTTCTAACCCTATTCCCAAATAGCCCCAAAAGAAACTACAGAGGACATGTTCTCTTCAAATTATTATTGCTTATAATTTTCTTTGTCCCTTAAAGTTCTTCCCATTTTGATTTTTTAAAAAATTAAGAGAGAAATGTTTTTGTATTAACTTTTCTAAAATACTCTTGATAAGATGACTAAAAGTTAGATGTGATGAGTAAATTATTAGTAAAAAATATGATATGATAGATAAGGTGAGAATTAGTATGACTAAATTGGTTTTTTAATAAAAAATGAAAAAACTTTGTGGGACAAAGAAAAAAAGAGTTCATGAGACGTAGGAAGTATTATTCTTATTGTAATCAGTTTTGATTTAACAAAAAATAACTCTAAATTGGGAAAATTATCTTTTCAAACGGTAACAAGAAAAACTGCAAACTCTTGTGAACGAAACAGAAACTCTAATAAAACCCCATAGACCTATTATCCAGCTTAGCAATTACAGCACTCTTCAAGTTGACCAATTCTCGCGAATCAGACCAAGACGACGACATCTCCACCCTCGCCGGCCAACTCACACTAGCCCTCGCTTCCGTCATCATTTGTGGGGCCCGCCTCTTCGGGTCGGGCCGTTGCTTGGGCGCGCTCTGCGACCTCGACTTTGCCCGAAACGCCTCCGTGTCGGCCATGTAATTCGGGTCCCTCCGGCAGCTCCTGAAGCACGTCGAGCTCTCTGAACATACCCTGTTTGCCGGGGTCGCCGGGGTGCTCTGCACCGCCGGGAAACCCAATTCGCCGGGAATTTGGCAGCTCCGTCCGTCGCCGGTAGAGGAACGCGCCGGGATTCGACACGAGAGAGGTGGGGAAAGTGAATCGATCTCCACTATTTTCGGGTTGTCGTCGTCATGTATGTTTATTGGATCTTCATATGGCCATGGGTGTCTCCCGCTCTTCCTGGTTTCTTGGAACCTGCGGGCACGAACACTGGCTTGAGCTCTCATCACAGCTTTTATGCTCTCAAATGTCGCCGCCGTTTCTTTTCTTACCAAATACCCTCTCACCGCCGCTTGAATTTTCACCAGCCCCTTCAATCCCCGAAGCGCTTTTCTCCCCTGTTTCAGTTTTTTCTCTCCTCCGTCAAATCCATCAATTCTATCATACGAGTTTTAATTTGAAATGGGAATGGTAGTAGGAGAAGTAATTTTCGATGTATTTACCAGGTGTCCTCGGAAGACGGATTGAATTTTGACGGCGGCCAGTGTTTCCCGGAAAAACAGAGCACCGCCGCCTCGGCTGGTGAGCCTGACTACTTCTGCCGCAGCATGTGCGGCGGCCACGGCCGCGTCGGCTGCAGCAGCGGTTGCTGCCGCAACTGCGATGGCGTGCTCGCTCTGTCCCTCGTCGGAGAAGAATGAGCTCAGCCATGCTGCATCGGCTGGGGTTATGTTGGGGGACACGGTGGTGGGGTGACTGCACAATGCGGTGGCGGAGATGCCTTTCCCGGGGCGGCCAAGTGTTACTGTGTCGTCGTCTTTCTTTTCTAGCCTTTCTCTTTGCAAATATTTTTGCTTCATCCCAAACAAGCCCTTAAGCCACCTTATTGCTTTTCCCATGGATTTCTTCCTTTGTTTCTTACAGGGTAGTTCGAAGGAGGAGCTAAAATGGAGAAGAAGGATTGAAGGGGGGGGGTGGGGAGATGGGGATGCATGTTACAGTGAAAAGCCATTTTCACAGCTCATTATTTGAAGCTTTTTGGCCATTGTTCAGAAAGCAGTCAAGATCAAAAGAAAAAGAAATATCGAAAGTGATGGTGACCTATGAGTGTGTGATGAGGGTGAAGTCTATTGAATCAACTATTCACGTAAGAATTTACTTAAATAGGCTTAAATAGTACTAAAATATTATGACATTTCTTAAATAATATCATATATGTTTTTTTCAGTGTAGCAGTTTTAGTCGTTATTCATTAGCCATTATTGAAGTAAATGTTCACTATCACTGGACATTATAGACATTATTAAATGCTATTTAGAAAATAAAACATGTTAAATACTCCCTCCGTCCCCCATAGATCTTTTCAATAGCCTTTTTTCTTTGTCCACAATAGATCTTCTCATTCCATTTTTTAACAATTAAAATACCATAACTACCCCCACTTACTTTATTTATTACACCTCACCCACCTCATTTAATACACTCCACCCATATTTCATTAAGGGTATTATGGTAAACTTTCACCTTTTTTCAACTCTCCTTAAAAACCACCAAAAGTCAAAATGAGAACATCTTAGGGGGACGGAGGGAATACTATATAAGAAAATGAATTAAGTTTTAGTATTATTTAGTGCAAATAATTTTTTAAGATTATATGTTATGGCGGGACTAGATGCGTGCATATGAGTAAAATATGCCTATTAGACTATGCGTTATCATCATTGTGCGGGGAGCGACGGACATCTATTTGAAGAATCGGTGCAACATAGGTTGGATGCACTCAGGGGAATGTGTGGATTATTCATGATTAGTTAACGTGAATGTATTTTAAATCGGCTGAAAAATCATTGAATGTACTCCGTAGAATTTTGCTTTGCAAAATCACGGTTCACGGGCCGGTGTGATAACGAAAGCCCACAGTTGCTGCAAATGAAAGGGCCCATTACATATTGCATCAGAAAAACTGTGAGTGGGCCATCTTTTATCTTGATTTCCAATGCACATTCGGCCTTTTGGTAGGAATACAACAAAAAGTATGTTTCATTTCAGCAAAAAAAAGATTTATATTTTTTTTACCCTATTTTGATCTCATGTTTTTTTATTTTAAAAAAATGGAACGTCCACCCTGGCGCCCCCTCACCCTTAGCCCTACAAAATAATGGAGAGAATAAATCATAATATAATCATAGTTTAATTTTTAAAGAGACGTCCACTTACTTTGTGCATACAAAAACTACTTTGTAACACAAAAAATATGACTCACATAAATACACACAGAGATATGCATAAATCATATCCCCTCTTGAGGGTAGAGAGACAGTTTCCAAAAAACAACCCGAATCAATTACTCAAACAACAAACCTAAAGAAAATCAACCTCGTAGCATGAATAACGTACAAACACAAACACAAAACCAAGAAGGATTCACATAAGTTGTCGGTAGTAATTCTATTCGAATCTGGCCTTTACCAACTCAACCAAAACCTATTTGATTAAATATTTTTAACTTTAAAAAATAATCCTCAATTTCTAAAGATTAAATTCCATAATTGGTCCTTTATAACATGGGAGTTTTCATATTTAGCTCTTTATTATCAAATATTATCTTCGTAGTCCTTTTTTAAATGGTACTTTTCCACAAATGGTCTTTTTTATCTTCTGTCACGTTGATGTTAATTTATAGGCTAAAAGTATAATTTGATATCAACATTATGTCTAGTGACGTGTTCTGATATTGGTTAAACGGATAACACAAAAATAATGACAATGATTGTGGGCTAGGATTCTGACGAAAGACCACATTTTTAGATTATAGTTGTAGTAGAAAGCAATTTTAATTCACAAACGACGCAAACGGAATAGCCTTTGGAATTGTGTATGACAAAAAAGATATATTATCATTGTGAAGTTATACTTTTAGCCCTCAAATTAATACCAAAATGATAGAAGATCAAAAACATGACTATTTGTGGAAAGATACCCATTAAAAGAGGAACACTGGGGTGATATTTAATAATAGAGAACTAAATAGGGAAACTCTCCCTGTTATAAAGGGCCAACTATGGAATATATTCATTTCTAAAAGTTATTCTATAAATTGTTCTTTGGCCCAAATATGTTGAAGAGTAAATTCCATAAATGGTCCTTTATAACAGAAGGGTTTTCCTATTTAGTCATCTATTATCAAATATTACATCAGTGGTCTTTCTTTTATGGGTATCTTTCCACAAATAGTCCTTTTTTGATCTTCTATCATGTTGGTGTTAACTTGAGGGCTAAAAGTGTATTTTCACAATGATAATATATCTTTTTTGTCATACATAATTTCAAAGGATGTTCTGTTTGCGTCATTTGTGAATTACAGTCGCTTTATACCACAATCATATTTTACAAATGTGGTCTTTTGTCGGAATTCTAGCCCACAATCATAGTCATTATTTTTATGTTATATGCTTAACAAATATCAGAACACGTCACTAGACATAATGTTGATGTCAAATTATACTTTTAGTCTTTAAATTAACACCAACATGACAGAAGATTAAAAAAGGTTCATTTGTGCAAAGACACCCTTTAAAAAAGGACTACAAGGATAATATTTGATAATAGAGGACTAAATATGAAAAACTCCCATAGTCCCATGTTATAAATGACCAATTATAGAATTTACTCTATGTCAAACTGTTTTTTCCACACATAGCTTTGAAGGATCTATTATGAAATAATTTTCAAAAATTGAGAATAATTTATGTAATATCTTAAAATTGTGAATTACATATGAAAACTCATATGTAATTAAGAACGACTTATGAAATTTACTTTAATTTTAATATTGAGTGAGATAAAAGAAGAACTACTAACTACTACTTCTCCCGTCCCGAAAAACTTTTTTATGTTTGACTTTTTGGGAGGGGCAAATAAAGAAGTTTGACCAAGGCGAAACGATGACAATTGAAACAAGTTGGACTCGGGAAATGTCAAAGTGGTAGATCGTAAAAGATAGTTAATGTAAGTTTGGTTAGATTTAAGAAAAGTAAGAGCAATGTAAGATGCGAAAGTTGAAAAGTTTACTGGACGTAGGGAGTATTAATTTAAGACCCTTTGACAGCACACGGCAAAACGACATCGTAAGATATGAAACCTCCTCGGTTGAACTGTGGAAGTGATAAACCCTCGTGAAATCCTCTCCTGCTAACATCTGAATGCTAGGGCTGTAGATTATGAAGTGAAGCAACAGTTGCAGCCTTTCCTTCTATAAATTCGCAGGTTTTCTGGTTATAATCCTTTATTAGCTTAGTACTGTTCTTTACTCTGTTGTTCTTCAATTCAAGCTGTCATATATACACATATTTCCATTAGGTTTTTAATCAGAGCGGCCCAGTATGCTGTTGCAGTTTCACACAAAGCATAAATCTTTATTCATTATGTGCCAACCTGCGCTGCTGAATCACGCATTTGCATTGAACCCTTTAAAATTCCCCAAAGGGTTCAGTCGAAACCACCCAGAGAAGTTCCAATCTTTGAATCTCTGTAATATCCCATTTGATTGCCGGAATTTCTCGAGTGGGATTAATTCCGGGGGTTTCCAATCAATTACTACCAGATCCTTTTCAAGCTCGTATTCGGGTGCGGGTGTTAGAGGCCATGGAAAGAATCTACCTTGGTTGGCAAGGGATAAGGCTAAACGAGCGAAAGGTTCTGATAAAGTGATGGCAATGAAAGGAAGCCAGTCTTCATGGGAGGAATCGGCAGAGAAGTTCTTGAAAAGTGGTGGGTCAGTTTCTGAAAATGTGGTTAGGAGATTTGGTAACAGAAGGAATGAGGATGCGGATGGAGATTATGGGGGAGAAGTCAAAGAAGATGAAGAAAGCAAGCAAGTTGATGATCCTAGATGGGATAAGATCAAGAATAGGTTTAATAGGATTAAAACGATGAATGGTCCGGATAGGCCTGAGGTAAAGAGGTGGAATAATCAGGAAAGTTGGGGTCGGAAAACTTGGAAGGAGGCTACAGAATCAACAGTACCAAAGATGGTCGGTGAAGGGATTTATGGGGTTGGCCCGGTTTTGGCTGCCTTATCTGCTCAAAGGAGGGAATTCTATGCTTTGTATGTTCAAGAAGGGTTGGACTTGAGTGGGAACAATCGGAAGAAGAAGGATAAGAAAGGGGTCGAGAAAGTTCTGAAGATATCAGAAAAGATTGGGTTGTGTACAAAGGAGTTGTCCAAACATGACCTGAACATGATTGCCGATAACAGGCCCCACCAAGGGCTAATCCTTGATGCTTCCCCGTTAGAAATGGTCAACATTAAAGAGCTGGAACCTGTTTCGTGTGAGGGGGAGGATGCCCCTCTTTGGGTAGCCCTAGATGAGGTAACTGATCCTCAGAATCTAGGAGCAATTATACGATCTTCTTACTTCTTCGGAGCCTCAGGAGTGGTTTTGTGTGCCAAGAACTCTGCCCCGTTGAGTGGAACCGTGAGCAAAGCAAGTGCAGGCTCGCTCGAGTTAATGGAGGTCAGGTCTTGCAAGAACATGATGCAGTTCCTGACATCATCAGCTGGAAATGGTTGGCGAGTTTTAGGAGGTTCAGTCTCTTCAAAAGCCCTTCCTTTGAACAAGGTTGAGCATGGTGGTATCCCTACAATTCTTGTTTTGGGCAGTGAGGGTATGGGTTTGAGGCCATTGGTCGAGAGGTCCTGTACTCAACTGGTTAGAATTCCAGGCAACATACCTGTAGATGTAACCGCAAAGGGAGAAGTTGACGATGATGATGTTGATGCAGAAACAGATAGTGAAGGTTCTAATGGTAACTTCAAGCGATTCATGGCTGTTGAGAGTTTGAATGTAAGTGTTGCAGCAGGTGTCCTCCTCCATTACTTGATTCGCAGAAACTAGGCGATGGATAAATAGCCAGGTGACATATTGTAATTCATGCTAAATATATTTTATGCATTAATGTGAGCTTGTGGTTACAAACATGTCTTTTTGTGCTAAGTTGATGTTCTTTCTGAGGAAATCATCATTTCATTAAATATAATGATATTGTTTCCTAAAGATTTTGCTTGGTATAAATCACATTGAATTTTTCGCTCTACCCTGTATTTCTTTGGGTTTTTTTTCTTCTTCCACAACTTTATGCAGACCTTCACTAGTTTTCATTCAAATAGGGATGTGCCATTTTGATTTGCCTTTTGGAAGCTTTTTGAATTTTGAGCCACTGCATATGTGAATATGACTTGGGTATTATCAGTTTAGGCTTGTTTTGAGTTTTTTTTTGGGTTAATATTCATCTGCAAACCTTTTGATTGTTCTTTCTTTCAATTCACAATATTTTCTACTCAATCTATTTCATGAGCAACAAACACTACCGTGATCCCAACAAAGCTTGTAAAATGTGTATGAGTAAGCATTCAGAGTATGATCCCTATAGTTCTGGGTAGTATATAGAATGCCTTACAAAAACAAAAATAGCAACCATTTAATTATAAAAAGAATATTAATGAATAATAAGAATAACAGTTATAACATAAATATAACGATTGAATCAAATCGAACAAAATTTGATCATCAATGTTACTAAAAAATTATATTGCATATTAATAATATAAGAATTTTTTGATTATTTTTTTGCAAAATAAATCTAATGAATTCTTTTTCATTAATGAGCAATATATTTTTTATTCAATTGATGATTAAACTTTATTACAAATACAGGACAAATGGGGACATATGTTCATCAAGCCAGGTGACATCACACTCTTTGATTCTCCGCCATGGAAGCGATTTTTTTTTTTTGGTTTTGTTTAATCCGTCTGACTCATTTATCCCATGTAACAAATTGGAATGGGGATGGAGAATCAAGAGTGGCTGCAAACTCTTTTTCTTCGCTCAAATCTCTATAGAATTTTTTGATGAACTCTTCAGCTTCCACATCAACCTCATGATCATCCGAATTCTCCGGCGAATCCATCAAGAAGGGCGAATCCGTCACCCGCAACTGCCTCACCGGCGCAGCCACCAACGGTGATGTGACGGGCCCGCCTTCATTCATTATCTCCAAAGCCCTCCGTAAAACATTGTTAGTATTATAGTCCTCCACCTCGTCCTCGTGGGTCCTACCCACGAGACTGTAGTGCCCGCGGTGGTGGCCCATGAGTTTGTTGAACATGGACCCACGCGGGGTGTTGCTACAGCTGAACTCGTAGTACTGCGGTCGGATGACTTGGACTGAGTCGTCTGACCTGCAGGTGAGAGCAGCGCCCAGGTGGCGGTGGTGGTGGTGGACGAGGTGGGCCAGAGCTTTTCCGGCGTGTTTGCCGCGCTTCAGGGTAAGGGTGAGGGCGACCTTGAGGTCGAGCATTAGCTTGTTCCTCTTTGACATCCCTTTCTTCACAAAGTAGAAAGTTATCCTCACCATGTTCCATAGCTTCTTCCCTACTATTCTTGGAGCAATTTGCTCTATCTCCATCTCTTTTCTTTTTTCTAGAGAGAGAGAGATAGAGATGGTGAGGAAGATGACTGAGGAAGAGAGACCTTGTGCTTGATCCAATGTTTATTTTGGGACACTAACAAATGTGTTAGTGGGGATATAGACCTTGTGCTTGATCCATATATATAGACCTTAACTATATTCTCCTCCCACCTAATCATCATGCTTTACTATTTTTAGAATATAGACAAACACTTTTGATTTAAATTTAAAAGTCTATATCATTTCTTTCAAATTTCAAAGCTCCTAGTTTATTTATCAACTTTTTAAAACTCATCAAACGAATCCTAATTATAGCGTTTATAAAAAAAGTCCGGAGTCTATATTTATAAATCTGGAGTATGCCAGACCGAAAATAAATGAATAACTATTTTTTAGTATGAAATATTACTCCTGTCCAAAATACATCGTCTCAATTACTATTCTGTCTCTTGATAATTTGTGTTTAGCTTTGTTTTCATTAATTGTTTTATAAAATAAAATATTATTGTTACATTTTTATAATAAAACATTTGGATATAGTTTTGAAATATACTCCGTATAATTTGTATTTCTTATTTCCATACCAATTTATAAATAAAATAATTTTTACAAAATGAGATTTTGTACATTATTTAAATTATTCAACATTTTTTTGGAATCGAAAGAGTATTTTGTAGTCGAAAAAAAGTCAACATGATTATACGACAAATTAAATAAGATGGACAATTTCTGTTATTTTCTATACACAATATTGTGGACTTTAAACTGCATACTTAATAACTAATACCCCTAATTGCATACTAGAGTAAAACAAATACTTAAAATAAAACTGACCAACTAAGCTTTCTTTAATTATCACGTTTTTTCTATTTGGTCTCTCCTTTGTTATTTTATTGTGCACATTTCTATTGATAAAAGTGCACTCTAATTCAAAATATTTATCTTTATTTTGGATGAGTTTTTACCACATATTTTTTACTGTGTTAAAAATAATACCTACTCATACACTCATACTACATCAATTGCCAATGAAATTAAAAGAGTCATTCTTGACTACGTTCTTGAAATTAATTTTTGACCATATATATATATATATATATATATATATATATATATATATATATATATATATATATATATATATATATATATATATATATATATATATATATATATATATATATATATATATATATATATATATATATATATATATAT